GGGGGACTCCCACTGAGGAAGGGTGACAGTTCTGTTCCCTGGTCCAAAAATGAAGCAGTCACATTACCCTTAGCCTGTGTTGGCACCAACTCCAAACAGCCCAAAACAGGGCACTTTCAGAGACAGTATTTGCTCCCAAACTGAGATCCAGCAAGCAGAGGCCCAAGGCTTTGCAGGGGGACCAAAAGTCACTGAAAAACTATTGTGAAAACTCCTGAAGTGTGAAGGCAGTGGGAACAGGCTGTGACCCAAGTGGCACCCTCAGGCAGGGGGGAGCAGGTAGGGAAGGGTCTGAGAGAGGACCAGACGCCACATTCCCTAGGGCTTATGTGAGCTGTGCAGGGAAGAAAAGAACAAAACGCCTTTTTTGTACCCTCACAACTTACTAAAGGACAACATTTAGAGAGGGAATTGAATATGGACTGCACCTACTTAGAGCTCTGCTTGTAAACAGAGAAAGACAAGCACAAGCTGGGAAGAAGGCAGCATCTGTCTCAGAGGAGAAAGATGCTGCCTTTCCAGCACAACTCCTGCCTACTGGAAGCTGCCTACTGGAAGCTGTAGGGGAACAGCTGCAATAAAGGCTTTATCATGCAAGAATTGTGGCATGTGTCATGAATGAGGAGTGGGTGGGACCTGAGATCCTTTGGCAGCGTTTAGATCACCGTGCAGTGAAATCAACCAGATACTAGCATGTCTCGGTTCTGGTAGCTCCAATTTTTGCTGCCAAATGCAAAACTGGTGCTACCACACCAGATCACTGCTCAGCTGTCCTCCTGCAGCACAGCTCCAAAACCATAGCCTCACTTCCTTCTATAGCAGCTTCTCCAGAGGTAACTTGAGAGTAAAATCCAGTCTCTGCTCTTTCATGCTGAAAAACAGAAAGGTGGGTACACCTGGAAGCTAAAACAGTGACCTGAAATGGCTGAGAGAGCATTAGGAGAAGAAAAAGCAGTTCTTATCAGTAACAGGAACCGAGTAAACAAAGGCTGTGTCATTAAAGCAACTGTCCCTCTACAAAAGGGGGAGGGCCTGCAAGATCACAGGCCAGCATACATCAAAGTAGTCAGCACAGAAAATTTCCCTAGAGACTCACTGACTCATTCAGGAGCTAAGACTTTGCTGTGATCCTTCTTCTCTGAGCCCTTCACGTGGCAACAGCACCATCCAGCTGCTGCCTCTGCAGCAGTGTCACCACAAACTGCATCAGCTCACATCAAACACCGTGGGAATGGCGTCAAGCAGGTATTCCCAGGATTCCTATGACTCCAACAAGTACCAACAGATGCTTCAGCTTTCGAGAGCTGGGTACCCAGGCACTTATCCAATGCTTGTAGTGTCTGCATTCTCCCTCTCCCTGTGTTGGCAGGGCTGTGACAGACGCTGGGTGCTTGGGCTGTCCCCTTTCTAAATATTCTGCACCATCACTGCAGAAAAACACACACCATTGAGCAGAAAAAAGCAGAATTGAGGCAAGATAGACACTTGTCCCTCAGACTCATGGAGATCTTGCTCTTTCATACACTCTGTTAGGATCCTGTCCTATGGGCTGCACTGCAACCCACATTGCCAGGATAAGCCTTAACTCACAGACTCAATTATGTTGGAAAAGACCTCTGAGATCCTTGAGTCCAGCCTTTGGCCAAACACCACCATATCAACTAGACCATGGCACTGAGTGCCAGTCTTTCCTGAAATACCTTCAGACACGGTGACTCCACCACCTCTATTCTAATGTCTAACCCTTTTTTTGAAGGAAATTCCTCCTAATGTCCAACCAGAACCTTCCCTGGTGCAGCTTAAGACTATGTCCTCTTTTCCTGTTTCCTGGGAGAAGAGACTAACCCCCACCTGGTTACAACCTCCTTTCAGGTAGTTGTAAAGACTGATAACATCATCCCTGAGCCACATCTTCTCCAGGCCAAACACACCCAGCTCCCTCAGCTGTTCCTCAAAACCACTGACAAGGCAGGAATTCCTGCAGCTTCAAAAGTGACCTTCGTAACACCAGCTAGAACAAAAGAATGTGGAACAAATCCCAGTATAAAAGTCACCAAATACTCATGGATAGTAAGAAACATAACTGAGCATAAAGTCACTCAATGTCGCTCAAAGGGATCCTGAGGCTTGACAGGGAGAAGGGCTCCTGTGGGGCTGCAGGCTAAAGGGCTCCTGAGAAATGGCACCATGAAGGTTGACAAGGGAAAGAGGCTCCTATGGGGTGGCAAAGAACTGGCTCTTGCAGGGTATAATGAGCACAAGACAATAAAAACCCCACAATGCATACAGTGCAGAATACAATACAATACTGTACCATATGCTACAATAGCTATACAAGAAACCATGATATAATGCAGGACATACTCTGCAATACACTCAAAATATGTAAACTACAATAAACATGAATGACAGCACACAACACATCTAGGACCATAATGAAAGGAATGAGAGGGATGTGTCTTTACAGACAAACTGTGGGTCTGCTTGCAGATAAAAGTCAGATACTGATAGGTGAAAGAGGCAATGGAAGGAACCATAAATTCCAAGGAATCCCACTAATTGACACAGACTCAGTTGCTCATCCAAGACTGTGCTAAATTTCTGGACTTAGAGGAAAAGAACAGCAATACAAAGAAAAATGGGGGAACGGTGGGGGGAGGGTACACATTAAAAGGGGTTCTGTATTAGGCTATTCAGGAAGTCTGTACCTCTCAAGTACCTCAGCCAAGGTGGAAAAAAAAATGAAGCAGGGAAATGAGGATAAAGAGAAGGCTGCATCCTCCAGCAATTTGAGAGACCTCATGGGAAATGTCCCATGGCCTCTCCCTTTATTTGAATAAAGTTGCAGGACTCCTCTGTCTCCTTTTAGAACATAAACCTCTGGCATTGTGGATTAATTTTCCTAACAAAAAAATACAGTAAATACCACATGGTACAGTACACACTGAAATGCACAACCCACTTCTCAGCCTTTGAAGAAACCTGCAACTCACACTAGGCCCTCTGTGGCCAAAATACAATGTGGCCCCTTCAAATGACCTGGAGAGTTCCTGTTTCACTCAGGATCTGCATCTGTGCTTTTCTGGTCACTTTCACCTCACCCTCCCTGTGTGCCCAACAAACAAGAGACCACAAGCAGCACAAATCCCATGGCAGCTTTTCCCCAATGCCAGATGCCACCACAAGTCCCTGACATGGCACTGTACCCAAGAGGCAGACAGACAGGAATCCCTTCGCCCCACTGAGTAAATTCACCTCGTGGGAATGCCCTCCCTTTTGGCAGAGGGAAGGGGACCTGAAAGGAACCAATTTGACTTTTTTTATGTCTCAACATTTGTTATACACAGGGTGAAAAATTACTATAGGGGCTGTTAGACACGCTGGGAACATTAACATGTACCATGTGATAAGCAGAAAATGGAGGTGTCAGGAAAATTAATCCACGAGAAGTTTATGTCTTTATGGCGGGATGCCCCTGTGTCCTGGCAGTGATGCTGTCCCTGTCTTCTATATGTTCCTCTGTCTCTCTTTCTCCCTCTCTGCTCTCTTTTCTATCCCACTCTAGTTGGGTCCATACCCTTTCTTTACCAAGAAACAGTTCTCAGATTTAATATTGCCACATTGGTGCTTTATTTTTATCTGAGAAATCTGTCAAAAAGAATGCTTCCCCTTTGAGCAGAATCTGTAAGGACCAAGATGACCCTCCAAGAATGAAAGTTTCCAAGTGCCAAGGGGGTGTGTATAATGAGGCTTTTTGAGGTAGAAACGGGCAGGTTCACAAGATCCATCCCCAGTGCCCAATCTCTGAACTGCTGGGACTTGAGACTGCACAGTCCCATCTTGCATCCCATAGCCTGGAGCACATCTCTCCCGTGCCCCAGAGGAAAGTGGCTTCTCCCTCTGCCAACACCTCAATATAAGGCTGGCTCCCCCTCCTCCTCTTCCTTCAGAGAGCGCCGCTCCAGCCTGTGGCAGCTGCATGCACCTGCTTGTGGAGGCGCCTCCTGGGCAAGACTGAGACAGTTCCTCTGTGATACAGCCCAGCCCAAGCCAGGTCTGTGCTTTCCTGCATCCTGGCCATCAGGGCAGCTTCCCCTGCAGCCAGCAGCTTCCTTCACAGGGCAATTTCCCTGCCCAAGACAGCCCCAGTGTGACAGAAGCAGGAGATCTGAGGGCTGCTGAGAGCTGAGTCTGCACAAAGCTCAATGCAGCAGTGGCAAGGCCCAGGCAATGCTTGGTTTGATTCCCCCTTGGCAGTTTTTCCTGTAAGAGGAGCCTCTTCACAACAAGACAAACACACAAGCTCAGTCAAAAACCAGGGCATTAGAGTTGTAGAGGGCACATCCACAAAGTCCTCCTGAAAAGTCTGTAAAACCAGCTGGTGTGTATGTGGATGCCTACTTGGAAGCTATACTAGAATGCTTCTCTAGCTGAACTTCAGGACTTTGACCAAAAAAGGTGCCAAATTCACAGGGCTCCCGTCATGTGTCCTAAAATATAGTAAAACCTTTTAACTTGCTTTCCAGGAAGCTCAGGGGAGTGATGAACACATTGAAGGCAACATCTTCCAAGGTCTTTAGAAATCAGAGACACAGTTACATGCTTTTCCCACTGTATGATACAAGTTTAACTGTGCAAAAATATATCAAGACTTTGCTGAGAACTAGAAACTGTTCCAGTGATGAACATGGAAAGAGGTACTGTTGTAATCAGAGCAAATAATACTTGTTGTTGAGCCAATCAAGTGCTTCAATACACTGAGATCCTGCTCTCAAGTGATTTAGACAACCTGTATTTAACTATTGTACCTCAAGAGAATCAACAAAACAACATCTGGAAAAGATGGAGGCAGAATAACGAAGTTTAAAACTGCACGAACTCAACAATAAAAATGGCTTAGGCTTTCCTACCAATATTTCTTTTGAGCACAGGAAGATGAAGTTTTAACAACCTTTAAAACTGTATTTCAAAATACAAGATACCAATGGTGTTGCAAAAAAACAAAAAAAAAAAGAAAAAGGAGAGAAAAAAGAAAAAAACAAAAATTTCAGAGCTCGATCCTCTGGGTCCACAACTTAATAAAACAAAACAAAACAAAAAAACACCACACCAGCCTCAAAATAATACATACAGATAAGAAAGAGAATCCCCTCACCCCTATTACTATCTTCCTGTACTGCCTACATCATGGAGGAAAAAATTTTCAAACCAATTCCTCTCCTCTGTGCAACCATGTTTTAACACAATCACACTGGACATTTATAAGGCTGTTCTCAGCAGCTATTTCTTGAGCCTAACAAATCTACATGTTTCTTGCACAAGTGTGTCAACATCTTCATTATCCTTTTCTTCTGAACTTGGTTCCCAGTCCGAGTCTTCATCAGTAGCTTCACACTCCTCCTCCTCCTCCTCGTCATCTATAAATCGGTCATTGAGGTCATATTCATTGGTTTCACCATCATTGACACCATCCTTCTTCACTGCCCTTTTTCCTGTAGGGACAAAAATGTCATGTATCCATGACTAATAAAGGTAGAGTTCAAGATCACTCCCAGAGCCCAGATAGTAAAGCATCTCTCCTCACAAGAAAGAATCACCTAAACAGTACATCTGTCTTCCAGTTAAGCCTCTAGCTATTGCTAGATGGCTACTCTGACACTAAATTTTCTGCCCCCATCCATCCTTTGTATTCTTAGTCTTTGGAAGCTAATAGCTTCCTTCATATGAGAGAATAAAATCTTCTAGATCACTCACCTCCTATGCTCTCCACTTGCCTTCATACTGGATAGTCTGTGATTCCCTTCTGAAAGTCATTTCGTTCAGAAATGCTTTTTGACAGATGTGTTTCAACCTTGCTCTCAATATCTGTGACACTTTTTAAATTTCCAAAATTCCTAACTAGCTATGGCCTGTTAATAGTCCAATCATGTCTTATTCTATCCTTAAGTCACATCTCTGAGTAAAATCATGTTCATTCCTCAGCTTCCCTCCCAGTTTTGCATTCTTACCTTATCTAGAAATAACCATGCAATGATATCGGTCTGGCAAACTTATCTGTTGAGCAGTTGTCACCAGCTTTCATATGGAACTATTAATATGGGGGTTTTTTTTCTTTAGCTACAGACACACAGGCCAAATCCTAACTCTTTAAATTGACCATAAACAATTTTCAGCAAACTCCTGAAACCTCAGGTCAGAGCTCCAGGCACAAACACCACCACCAGTACCTCACATAGCCAGACTACAGCCTCTTTCAGTCACACTCTTCTGGGAGTGGGAACGCTCCTGTTCCAGAATTACCTTTCTTTTTATGCTTGCTGGCTTATTGTTTAAGAGACTTCAGAGGAAATTAATAATGCCATAATTGGGAGGGCACGTTCATTTCTGGATGTTTCCTCCCAATTTGTCTCAAACCAAGACACTGTGTTAGCCCATAACCAGCAGAATCACAGACTATAGTCCTTGCAGAATTGGAGAGGAGGGGTCAAAATGAAGATGCTGAATAAAGTAAAAGCAAAATCCCCCTTCTCAGACAAAGGTTACGAAAATCATAAGCCCAAGAGCTGCTTATCAAAGAAAAGCTCTTTGCCACTTTCACAGCACTGTGAGTGGTATTTTACAACAGAAGCAGGAATGCTGGCAAAATACTGATAACTTTCATATTCTTCTTACAAATGTAAGATATGCATACTATGTTCTCCCTCCTCATATATCAACACTTTGATTTGAGCAGTGAGTGATACACTTCCTTTTATGCCTTTCCTCTCCATTTCTTTCTGCTGTAGTTTAATTTAGCCCTGCGGCCCCTAAAGCTGATGATTAAGCTTAATTCAGCTTTTTCTCTAGTAGCCTATCTATAAAGATGATCTTGAAACTTTCTATGGAAGTATCTCCTTGATGTGGGAAAAAAAGCTTGCTGACTGCTCCTTCCAAAACATTCTATTTTGAAGTGAGCTTATCAGCTTTCTAGAAAACCTGCACAAAAGTATGTAGAAGAATCCATGTAGGAGAATCCATGGCTACAGGGTGTGATTCATCTCAGCAGCAACAACCTATAGAAGTCATTCAGTAGTGACAATTTAACAACAGCACAACTCTGACTTTTTTAAAAATTCCTTCCCTACAATTATTCCCCAGTAATTTGCCTCAGATTATTTTTCAGACATTCTCTACAGGCAATTCTGGTAGCAATTAGATTTGAAAGCTAAACATGTTAACTGTGACGTAGAGGGCTCCCCTCTTCTCTTGGCTCATGGAATTTAAATACCCTTGTAGCGAATTTAATCCTGCTGTGTCTAATGGTGCAGTTGTGCCCAATATGACAAAATAAAGGTTAATGGAGCTCTTACTGTCTATCTGACCCTGCAGGACGTGGTATGATAGCCTGAGGTGTGAACTTGCTGAGCACCACCTTTTATAAGCTTTGCCCTCCACAGAGCTAAGTCAACCAGTCAACAAAACATTACAATTTTTTTAAAATAGTAAATATAAACAGAACTTAATAAATTATTTCCCTTCTTTCCTGTGTGTGCAGAATATCAATTCTTCCACAGTTTGTTCTTAGTAAGAAAAGTTGAATCTGACAGACTGAATTTCACTTCTGTGTGCAAGTTTTACATGCTAAAAGAGCAGCACTTCTTCCTTCAGAGTCACCCCTGCCTGACCATCAGCTGCACACACAAGGGGCAGGGTGCACCCTACTATTTGGATAAGGAATGTACTCTTATGAGAGGCACAGCTGAAAATTAAAACCTTCAAAAATAGATTTGGACTTTTAGATATGCACACAGCCCAGCCTGCTTCATTCTAAAATCTTCAACACTCAGTGCATGCCTCAACACTCTGCAACACAAATTTCTACCATGGACCTCTGATCACGGTGGGGCTGGTACTTGTATCACAAGATACACTAAAACACACACATAACAAACATGCCTCAGAATATTCTGGTGCACAGATATAAGCATAGCAAATATTTGGTGATAGTCAAAGTGCACACAAACTGGATAAGAAATGATATGGCAAAGAAATTTCTCAGTGGAAAGTTTAAAATAACCTCCTGCATTCACATAGAACAGAAAGAGAGGTCAAAACACTTTGCCATATTGCCATACAACTATTTGCACTTTTATTTACTTTCTGTAGAAAGCAAATCTATTTTGAAGATTTCTTTAGGAAATTCCCTGCCTCTCCTTGGTGATCTCAAAGAAGACAAGCCACTTCCCACTCCCACCCAAAATGCAACAGTTCTACACCCTCCTGCCTTACTCTGGTCACTGAAAGCGAAGACTGCACAGCATTAGACTTTCAGACTGCTCTTTAAAGCTCACTTTTAATTTCAGAAAACTTAGGAACTTTCACATTTGGAAGATGAGACAAAAAAGAATCCTGGAAGCAGACCTAAGCATGTGTCCTGGGTTGTTAAGATATGTTGGTATTCTATTCCTATCTGTTAGAGGTGGGGCAGTTATCTTCTGTTATTTGGGCAGTTTTCTTTATCTGTTCCATAACCAATGCTCTCTCCAGGAAATATCTTCTGTTAGTGGGCCATTGAGTGTCACCACATGACTGATAAAATTACATCATCCTATTGTGAGAAACTCTACCTGGGGAGAGGAGTCAAACATTCCTACCTGGATATAATCTGAGACTTGGAACACCGCAGGCAGCCTTTTCCCACTGGATTCCCAGAGGAGCAGCTTCCTTCTCCACTAGATTCCCAGAGGAAGACAAGGCCCATCTATACCACCACTGGGTCTTCAGAGGAAAACTGCACCTTTCTACAGGATCACTGCTTCAAAAGAACCACACCTGTCCCTCCCGGACTGCAGCCACCATTTCAATTGTACTGCTACCACCCTCATCAACAGGGTGTCAGGTTGTATTCTGACTCTGTCAGTGTTTTTTGGTTTTAGTTTTTTTTGTTTGTTTGTTTGTTTGTACTATTGCATTTGTATTTTTAGTTTTCCTAGTAAGAAACTGCTCTTCCTATCCCCACGTCTTTGCCTGAGAGCCTTTTAATTTCAAAATTATAATATTTCAGAGGGAGCTTGTTTACATTTTCCATTTCAAGGGAGGCTCCTGCCTTCTTTAGAAGACACTTGTCTTTTCAATTGAAGACAGCATGTTTAAAACTTGAGTCTATGTGCCTCCAACATACATAAACTTCTATACTTTTATCCTAAGCCCTGAAATTTCAGTACCTCACTATATGAGTAAGGAAGTTCATCAGTACATGCACAGATTATCATCTGGAAGTTAGTTAAAGGTCAGAGGGAGTATCTGCATGTTACAGGAGCAACCATTCCTTATAAGGCAACCTTAACTAGCTGTGCATGAAATAGTGGATTCCTTTAATCCTATTATGGCTGCTGTGTAAGGAGTGAAGATGGAAGACACCATTTAGCCATATGTGTCTCTCCTTAAAATATGTTTGTTTTCTTGTCTGCTTCTAGGAAAATACAGGTGTGATTATCCAGGAAGACTGGCACAAATGCAACTGAAGGACTATTACTTGTAAGAAAACAAGAAGGATTTTACTAAAATAATGACTATTTTCTCCTCAGCTAAGTATTATCAAGCATCTCCAGCACTATTAAATGCCAAAAGAGCCACAGCAGACCAATGGTGTCCCAGGTTGATGTGCCCACTCATAACTACAGAATACACTCACCATTGCTTGAAGCGCGTTGTCGTGTTCCTCTTCCAGTTACTAAAGAAAGGGAAGTTGTCATCAGGACAGAGCGAACCCTGCCATAAGGGTTATTCTCAGAGCTGCTACAACAGGAAACTGACCTATTAAACAAATGCTGAAATGGTTGTGCTGTACTTCCAGGTATAAAAGCTACTCTGATGCCTCAAAAATACCATTTTTGTCTTGAATCATTCCCAAGAGATTACCCAGATAAACTGCTCTTAAAATCATTACCCTTGCCATCTGTAGACAAATGTCATCAAATCTGACTGGGGGTTTTTAAGCAGGAAATTGGAATATTTTAGGGCATTTAAGTATTTTACACTACTGTTTCCATAAATGGTATTCTAACTTAATCATGTCATAGCCCTGAATCTTCAAAGATAAATGCATTATCATGACAGATCCATAAGTGTTCCGCTCTAAACTACTGCTTATAGCATTGGGATTTCATGTGGAAAAGCTCCAATTCAATAATCAAGAGAAAGCACCATAAAAAAATAAAACCAAGAAGTATCTCTTTCAATTCTTTAAGAGCAGACAAAATGTACACAGCACATTCCCCTGTGTTTCTTCACCAAATCAAGTTACTGGAATATGAAAAGACTACAAAGTGTTAGATTAAGAACTCAAATTCATTTTTAGTAATCTTCCCTCCAGGCCTCAAGAAAACATATATGCAAAAATTAATTCTCACAGAAAGAAAATCACTGGTGAAAAAAACCCAACACAAGAAGATGACAGATACAGTTGCAGTATTTTGTTTAGAGCATCAGAATATTTTAAAATTTTATCTCACCTGAGAATTTCTGATTTAAAAAAAATCCCAGAAAAAAAATAATCCTAATAAAGAGGGAGCTATAAATGCAACTTTATTTCCTAAAGGGAGATTAGAGCCTTTTAATGAGATAGACACGATTGTCCTTGTGGGTCCCTTCCAATTCAGAATTTTCTGTCATTCTGTAATATTGAACAAATTGGCCTACCTGGAGGTGCACTGTGCTTGTACTCCAGCTTGTGCTGGGGGTTCTTCCTGCAAAGAAGTAAACAGTAAAAGCTTGATTCCATCACCTTGTTCCACATTTCACAAGTGCAGAATTCCCTGGTATTTTATGGACAATTTTCAAGGCAGAGCATTTAGATCAGACAGATAATAGCCAGTATATAAGGACAAAAAAAATTAACACAAAACCCCTTCAAATTATATCTGTTGCTTCATCAAAAGAATGATCAATTTTTCATGGGTGCCTCCTTTCCTCTATCCCCAAAGAATGAAACAGAGATTAAGAAATTACTAACTCATGCAACACAGAGATTGTCTCATCTGGAAGAAGAGCCAGTTTGGGGTTTAGATAAAGCATCTGTTGTACTCCCGAGAAGCATGTTAGCAATTTCATTACTGATATAAGTCTGTATCACTCAGCCTGAGATGGAAAATTCATCTCATACATGTTTTTAAGAGAACCACTTTTTCTGCATTAGCTGAGTATCACCAAGGCTTTTTCCTAAGAGCTGTTCTCATTTTGTTACATTTCATGGAGATCATGCTTTTTAGGATAATCACACTTTCCAGGAGAAAATGTTTATATGCAGAAACAATCTTTAACAGCAGCCACCAGTTTCAATATGCTCTCATAGAAATGCTATTGCCTCAAAAGGTATCTTCTTGTCCACTGTGATAATTATGCAGTCTGCTAAATATGTAAACCTGAGATACTGAAAAACAATAGAATACAACAATATTTTGAAGAAAATCAACAGTGCTTAAAATAAACAGCAGTCAGCCATAAACTGGATTTTATTGCTGTTACCTCAATTATACTTTGTAATAAATCAAGTACTGACTAAAATAGTCTTTTTGCAAAATCACAACAAATACATTACCAAAATTTAAACTAAAAGTTAAAGATCAAGAACAACAAGTAACAATAAATTGCTTATATAAAAGAACAATTTACTGAATGTTGAAAAGAAATACAGTATTGATCTCCAGGTCACTGAATGGGCTCTTTGAGCAGTCAAGTTTTCATCTGTGACAGCTGATAATTACCAAAATAGTGATTTTTACTGTGTCAGTGTTAAAAATATGCACAGACTTGGGTGCTTTAAGGGTAGAAGTCTGACCGCAGTAAATTTCGGAAGGCTACAGGCAATGTAAACATCAAGAATTAGTCATTATTCTACTGTCCTTCTGCAACTGCAGAGGAGAACATTCTTAACCTGACACAAGAAGAGCCACTGTGCACGTGTTTCTCACCTATAACAAGCTGTTCCATATGGACACTCAGGCTGGCTGTCATCATCATCCTGAGCCACCATCTCCATGTTGTGATAGTCATCATCATTAGGATGACTGAACTGCTGGAAGTGAATGGGATTCTTCCTGCAAAAGACAAATACACACTGAAACTGACTGATCCATTTCAACACAAGAGAGGACATATAAAACATGTTACTGAATCATTGACAGCTCATTTTTCTGTGGTTACATGAAGAGGAGCTTTTAATGTTTAACTTGACACAGACTGTATGACCTACCTTCAGGACAACAGAAGAAATTTTGTCTTAGCACCTGCTGCAACAGAAGTTAAACCAGGAATTTTCCTATTTCCCATCAGCTTTAAGTTTCAGACCTCCAACATATGTACAAAAGGCTTTATTTGAATTACAAACTAGCATGCTGACATGAAGTTGTACCATAAGACATTAACAACTTCATGTGTAGCTGAGTCACACCAATGTTAGTGAGGACAGCACAAGATCATCATCCACAACTTCTTGAATCCGAGGTGAACAAGTAGAGAACATAAATTTATGAATCACTGAAAGAACATTTCTACCACTTCTAGGCAAGAGCTTTGTACATACACCACTCAAGACTAGACAGTCATAAACATCACTTAAAGAAGAGTTTCTCCCTTCTATAACTGTTGTAAGTGGAATTAAAAAGAACACAGAAAATCAAGTTCCCACTTCAGGAGAAATTCATGTGACAGATCAAAACAGGATAAAAAAATTACATCAAAATTAACATAATAGTAGCAAAAGCAAATCTACTTTTTCCCTATAATTTCCTGTAGACTTTTTTTCCAAGTGTAATACTGAGAAGTAAGAAATGTGAGATTTTTAAATAAATTATTTTCCAAAAGACATCTGCAAAATACTTTATTGATTACCTCAATCATTCCCAGAGTACATAACCTCTAGTGTGTTTGTGCAAATTATAAAAGTGAGCTGCCTGCCTCAAGCAGGAGGAATAACAACTTTCAGCTGCAGAGTAGTTACTGCTTTAGCTTAGACTTGCTCCAGCTGCATTTAGAAGCAGGTACAGAACACACCAAGGATGTGTGCAGCCACCTCCATACACAGCAACTTCCTCACTGATCAGAGAAACACCTTTAAACTCACAAGTACTTCTGAACTTCACAGAGGACAGTCAATATTCATTTTAGCACTTCAACTACCACTATAACAAAAAAGAATTTGTTACAGCTTTTACAAAGATGACTTAAACACTGTGAGCTCTGCTGGCCATTCAGGCTTCCTTTTAGCATTTGACAAATACCAGCTATTTAGTATTAATTCTTTAAATCTCCATTTGCTAGGTATGTTTCACTCAGGAAATTCCACCAGCAAGCTACAGATTAACTCTTTCATAAGCTACTTATCAAAGATCCAGTATGCCTTGGATCTACTTACATAGGTGATAGGCTTCTTGTCCTGGTCTTTTGTTGCTTCTACAAACTGTAGGACAATTGAATAACGTTTCACTAGAAACTATTGCAGGGTTGCAGTCTTTTATTCTATAACAAATTCTCATGAAACATCACTTCTTGTGACAAATTCAGACTGGCAGCCTACTTCTTTCCCCATTAAAATAAATGGGATGAAACCAAATCATTTAGAGGCCATTTGCCACTGAGTTTTCTTAATGCACAGAACTAACATACTTGCAGTAATAGCAAGAATTCTCAGTCACATGAAATACAATTTATCTTCTGAAAGGGATACAGCAGCAACTTATGTTCCTTGATTTAATTTTAATCCTTACTTCCACATCTAGATACATAAAGCATCATGGTTGCCACGTGTCACAGTTTGACACTGGCACGATGCCAGTGCCCCCATGAAAATATATGTTCCCTGGTGTCTGCTGTGAGATGTGACCAGGAATAGAGCAAAACAGGCTCCAAATTAAAAGGTTCTCCTTTTAAGGATGCTTTGCCCAGTTCCAAAAAAAGCACAGTCTCTCACTTTTGGGACACCAGTCCCCCCCAAATTCACCCCCTGGGGCCAAGGGGGCCTCAAGAACAGAGGTCTTCTTCTTCACTGAAGATCGAGGGCACCACCACTCTCCTCACCCGTCATCTCTGTTCACGCACTCCTTCACATAACATCACTGCACTCTCTTGGCTCCAAGCCATTGCCTCCCCCTAAATGCAGTCTCTGTGTCACATGAAAAATGGTTCTGTCCATGGCTATACAAGAAAAGTCCAGCCAAAGGCCACTACATCATCCCTCTCACCTAAGATTCTTCTCCACTTCTCTCATGGCCCATTTCCTCTTATCTCATCTCTACCTCTCTTCTCATTCAGCTCCAGGAGGATCAGCATTCGTAAGGTTTCCATCATCCAAGAAAAGGGTTAAAAATCTCAGGCTCTGCCTGTCCAGAACTCCCATGGCTGTCCTGCCAGGCACCTTCTCTCTGCAACCCCCCCTTCTTCTCAGCTGGCATGCTATCAAATTCCAAGGTGGCCCAGGCACAGACAACAGCTCTCTCTCTCCCTCTCTCTCTCTCCTGGGGGAGGGGTGGCTTGGTGCTCGTCCACCTTTCCATCCTCAGAGCCCGACCTACCTCGCTCTACCACATGTCTTCCCCTCCCCGCCAAGCCACAGCAGCTGGGCAGGGGAAGAGGTCTGAACCTTTCACCCACTGGAACCCAAGAGAAAGTTTTCCTGGGAGTTCTCTGCTTTTAACCTCCTGTGTTCTCAGAGGCATATCCATGTCCTCAGTGGCCACACCAGGTGCCAATATTCAAATCTGAGCACCTATTGGATTGACCACAGCATCCCAAAAAAACTCACTTCCTCTCAAACCACGACACTGTTTCAAACACAAGAGTTCAGGTCTACTATACCTCTTCTATGGTGGCCCTTAAAAAGGGTGGTGGCGGTAGATTTATTTTAATTCCCTATTCTGCCAACTTCAGAAAAGCAAGCAGCAGACAAAAACATGTGACAGCATTCAGAGGGCGAGTTCCTCGATAACAAATAAAGGCATCTACAACATAACCAGAGCACTTTGTCTCCTAATGATAATAGCAGCTCCTTTGAATTTGGCCACTTCAGAAATGACAGTGAATGAAGGTGACAAGAAGACTCCTTGCAGCAAGAGATGTGCATCAAGTTTAACTCTTTCAAAAGCAGTGTTTTCAAATTCATAAATGAAGAAACTAAACTATGGGTTACAAATTTACTTACTAAATGTTTGCTACAGGCTAATAGAAATGTAGTCAAATAACTAGATCTAACATTTAATATTTGCTCTAACACACTTTTGCCACCACACAGAAACAACTACTTAGAGGCCTTGAACTAAAAGCAAATACAAAGACAGGCTACAAAGCACATTTCTTTTGCTGCAAGCAAACAAGTCAAGTTCCATAATATTTCCTGAAGATCAAAACTGACATTTTGATTCTCCTTATTTACAAAATTCTCCCTATTTTTCTCCCTATCTGACAAAGTAAGACTGCTATTTGTTATTTCAGAACATTCTTTTCTTTTTATAAAGCAATACTTTCCAAAAGCATTATTGCCGAATGTCTCACAATCAAGAGACCCAGGAAGAAATGTGCACATATAGACTCCTACTCCCTACTACCAGTACCTAAGATTTGCCTTCATAAAGATAAGGAATATTTCTTCATAGCAGAACATTGAATTTCCTTAATACGCACACAGGGCAAAACCTGTCTCAGCAGAATTCAAAGTAGCTGAAGCAAACCAGAGGCTGCATTTGCACTACTGGATCAACAGAACTGTCTAATAAGACATGCTTTTGTCATAATCATTAAGGGAAAAAAATGAGATAGGTCGAAGTTACATGAAAACCAACATGTGATGTGCTCATGAACACAACAGCTTTATAATTTTGATATTCAGTTATCTCAGCATCAGGCTCACCGAACATACAGGAAGCCAGTCACTTGTGCTTGTTTGGTTCCTAACCAAACTCACTGCTTTTATTACTGTTGAAGCCCCTTGGGGGAAGATAAAAAAAGTCACAGAATCTGCTGTTTCCTGGATTAGCCTTTTGTATTTACAAAAAAATTACATGGGATTATCTAGAGCTCAAAACCGTCTCCTAAATGTAGTTCACAGGTCAGTGGGCATTTTCTCGACTTAAGATTTCAGCCTTCCATTTAATGTAACACAACAGGACACCACAGATTTTTTCTGGGCAGAAAGAACTAGCAGGAGGCCAGACACCCAGCACTGGTGTTCTGGAACTTCTCTGGCATGACAAATCTGGTAAGACAAATTACTTCTGGTAAGACATATTACTTCTCTGGTAAGACAAATCTTCTACCACGTCCATCTTGAAAGGATATGAGTGAAAAGAAGAGGAAAAGCCCCTGTTATTCCCCACTTGCAGTATTTCTAAGGACTGTCCAGATAAGAGTTAATCTCAAGTTCTAAGTATGCTTTGTTCTGGTTTTAGGGGTGACTGAAAGCTTTTTTAAAAATTGCAGAAACATCAAGTTATAATAAGATAAATTCTTGATTATTTATGAATGACAAAGAGTAAGTAATTTAAACATTCAGATCACAAAGCAGGCAGTAATTTCAATAAATACAGTAATCTTTCATGTAAGTCTCATCTGCTAAAAAACCAAACCTATAGGGTCTGTGTTGGGCACTTGAACCTTTTACATCTCTTCTCTGCTAGTACCTCATACCATACACACAGGTCTTTTATTTCTTTTCCTTTTATAATGGACCTTTATATTTTATTTCCTGCAACACTTCATCTTTTAGTTTGCTCAAATACTTCATCCCTTGTTTGGGTTGTATTAGGAGTTAGCAATCCCAGCTCCTCCTTTTATCCCTCTAAAATTAGTGTTCTGCTATTTGTTTCTCATCAGATCCCTGTTCAACAAAAGATTTTTTTTCCAAATCAAAGCTTGTAACAATTTACAGTTTTCTCTTCCATAGCTAATACATTATTTCTGAATAACAAGCTAGACCAAGCTAGTATTGATTTTGCTTTACCTGTAACAGCCACTTCCATACTTGCAAGGTGTCCTCTTATGCTGCATCTGTTTGGAGCTTTCTGAAGCATCTGCACTTCTGGCTGAATCAGAAATCTCAGTGTTGTAGCCCAGATTTGCATCAGGCTCAAGAATCCCTTCCTGAGCACCAAGATATTGGGAAGTTCTGCCCCAGTGAGCTTGTCGGCTGGTAGAACCAGCAATGTGCTCTTTGTTTTCTGTTTCCTCAATTCTGTTGTCTTTAATGGAGATCTGACCTTCTCTTTTAGACCATTTGCTATGCAGCTGCCTATCATTTTTTTCCAGAGAATTTCCAGGGTTTGTTGTTCCAGTCTTGCCACTTCCTTCCATATCTCTCATGGTAGTCTGAAGAGGTAATCCAAATGTATTCTGTGGAACAAGGTTACATTTTGAAAAACCTGAAAATTTACACTCCTCAGAATGAAAAGCTTTGAAGTAAAACTGTGCCTCATCATCCCTGCTTTCAAAATCAGTCACAGAACAGCCCGATTTAGAAAGGACCTTGAAAGTTCATCTGGTCTAGACTAAAAATCTTCTACTCTACTCCCTAAACTCAAGTTCACTGCTAAATACAGCTGCTGAATGAAAACCCCAAGTTCAGAAAACACAAAGAGAAAAACTTATCTTAAAAGAAAAACTCAAAGAAAAACTTATCTAACAGCTTCCTTCCTCAGCTTCCGTTCCTTCACGTGACCTGTTCTCTCATCACCTCAGTTTGTGAACAGTCCAAGAACTAGTTAAAATTAACTTCCAATTTAAAGTACTGCTCCTGAAAAATTAATGGGGATTATACAGGTGAAGATGTAGTGGACTGTAGAAGAATGTAATTTGGACAGACTCCTACCCATGGATCAATTTAAATGATTAAGGAATCACTTACTAAGTTAATGAGTTTCTTAATAATTTAAGCAGCCAGATACATGGAGTATATTTGTATTTATCTATATAGAAGATATATGGGAACTCAGGACACATACCCTGAGGTTAATCCCACACTGATACATCTTAAATGCTTCAGCTCATGACTCTAAATCACAACAGTCTGTCATAGACACCATTAAGCAAATATTTCAGTTTTGACACTAACTGCACTTTAAATTTTGGGAAAAAATGTACATTTAAAATAAGAAATGTGTTCTTTAGAAAAAGAATCTGAGATACACAACTCAGGAAAAAAACACTGTCCTGACAATTGAGACATTACCTGGAAGCATATTACATTCAAGGTTGAATTACTTTGATACATCATAGAACTATTCAAATGTCTGTGCTTTCTAAAGATTATTATCTATGTTTTCCCTCCAGTAAATTTATACTTAATTTACACAGGTGCGTTTTGCAGAGCTTGAAAATCAACCAGTGATTTCCTACTGGATTTTGTTCCTTTCCAAGCAAGTCTCATGAAATGTTATCCAAAACCAATTACATTTGAGCAGCAACTTGATTAAGAAAGGGAAAGTCAGCATTACCATCAGATGATCCTGACAGAAGCACATTTAGTGACTCAACTAGGAGACAAAGACAACTCCCAAAATACAGCTCAGCAATCAACTGCAATTTAAGAAATAAGCCTTTCTTTGCAAAAGAAAGCATAAATTACTGTTATTTGCCACTACCGCTTCTGAGTTCTCTACCATGTATTTCCACCCATTGCCTGTACTGTACATAAGGAGACAGAAGGCTCACACTAATTCCCTGGTTACACACCAGGCTGTGATCCAGGGAAACCAAAAGCCACCAGCACTCAGCACTGGGACAGCCTCTGGTGGCTGCTGCCAACCACAGCAATTCAGATACTTTTGCATTCTTCCCTACAGAACATTTTATCAATTGCCTTAAACATGACAGCAGGGCCATGATTTAGGCTCTGCTATCCAAATTACAGTCTTTCAGAGCTCTCTATGGTTACTACTCTTGCTTGCCCTAATACATCAGTTTCTCTGCAAAGTCCTGAAAGCAATTTCTTAAACTGTACTTGAAATTAAAATTATTTATGAAATTATTAGGTGAAAACAAGTAAAGTTTCCTACGTACAAATTGCAAAATTGAATAATTCATTACGTAGTTACTCATTTTATAACCAGGCAATGAGAAAATAGCTCAGCAGCTGTTATTAATGGACCTAGTGGACCACTGTTATACCAAAACTACTACTACTACTTGCTCTCCATGCACAGTTTGCTTCAATTAACCTTAAAACCAAAAAAAAAAAACCCAACAATTTTCAGTGTCAGAAGCATTTTAAGTAATTTATCAGATCCTGGAACACACCCAGGCAATTTTAATGCCAGTCATTAAAAACACCTTCCAGAGTGGTTCACTTAAAGGAAACAAGTCAGTGAAACTCTGTTTGCTCTCACCAGAATATGCTTTGTTTGACTTTAGCAATGATCCTTCTCACCACTTGCAGGATGTCATTAGTAAGGACTTAACTGCCTAAAAAGGCAGCTGTTCTGTGAGGTCACAGAGAGACTTGACCAGTTGAACCAAAGGGTCTGTTCACTCATTGCCACAAATAATTGTGGTTTCAGGTTACTTCTTTTTCCTTTTTTTGACTCAGATTTTGAGATGGTGGCTTAAGCACACTCCATGCTACCTTCCTTTGAAACAGCAGTTGCTGAGCCACACACCATCCTCATCTGACCATCAACCCTCACCTACTACACTGGCAATTGCCTGGGCAAAGCCCAGTATTGCATTGCATCAGTTTCACACCATCACCTATCCCCAGAGGTTCTCAGAAAAAGAAGTCACATACACCAGCCATTCCTAGGAGCAGTGCTCTGGCCCATGTGCTCCTGCTTCTTGCTGCAAAGTTTTCAGCCTGGTACTTCTGTGGGACATGTGGGGGCCATGTCCCAAATCCTTTGAAGGAAATGCAGAAAACCAAATCTCTGAGGCTTCCATGATCCTTGCTACAGAGCTATCCAAAAGACTGGTATTTCAAAACAACAAATCACGATCAGAACACAGAGAACAAAAAGTTATGTTGTAGACCTAACCTTCAACATGACATTGCCAACTACATTCTCATTTTTTGCAATATCATGGTTGCGCCCTGAGCCAAAAAGTTACCTGAGATAAAAGAACAGGGAAGGGAAGGCAGTTCCTTTTCCCTTGATCTTGCTCTCCACCTTCAAAATCCTCTATAGTTTCTTCAGAAGGTAATCTTTTTTTCTGCTGTACATGTACTTCTGATTTTAATGACTCTGTAAGACCTTCTCCCCTTCCTTGGACTTTTTTCTTTCTACTACCTTAAAAAAAAAAGAAAAAGGATATTTTTGGAATGCAATTTTTTAGTGAAATCCTGACTAGAAATCATTAAAGTAGAGCACTGGGCACATGGCATGAGAAACAGCAGCAGTTGTGAAAAAGACTTTTTAAACAGTTCTAATGTTTGCATCTATCCCCAGTTCCAAGGTCAGGGCTTGAGATACTTACCCACACAGCTCCTAATCTCAACACTGACAAAACCAAAACATTCCGTCTTTAAAATAAACATTATATTCACACATATAGCAAATGTTATTGTACTGGCAGAGAAACAAATAAATAGACAAACAAACCTCACTCCCCCAAAAATACAACACAAAAGCACAAACATAAGAAAACTATTACATCAGTACAGGACTCAACACCATGCAATTTTTATATAAATATCGCAGGAAGGAACAGTCTAGATTTAGAAGGGAGATGAAAGAAAAAATACTGAAACACAGATTTTCTTTGTCATCTTATAATTTTTTTCCAAACTAGCTTTTGAGGAAAAGAATAGGCAGTGTGGTGGATGGCACATGATTGAGGTTGTTAAAGCCACAGTTGCCCTCATCAGTGCACACAGACACCTGTATTTACAACAGGAGGGAAGAAGCAACTGGCCAGACACTGCATTTAACATACTCCTGTGGGCTTGCTTGGATATTAAGAGCCAAATCCATAACAGCATCCCAGTAGAAAGAGGAGCTGGAAAGAGTCACTGAGGTAGAGCTGCTGCACATGGGAGCAGACACACACTCACCAGCCACAGTTCATATACTTGGACTGATCAGCAAAGCAAACTCAAGTTTGCCCCAAACCACTTCACACCTCCCCACAGAAGGGCAAACAGGGTGGAGTGTGCTGTGTTCAGCACAGGGAGTGATGGAAATACTTTCCCTCTCTCACTTCTTTGGCCCTCCTGTTCCATCAATAAAAGTCACAAGGGCAATAAATGCCATGTAGAAAGTTTGTCTAATGGCAGTTTTAGAAGCTCCCAGGACCGAAGGCAGACATGTTATAAAGTCTTCTTGAGCTTGTGCCAATGCATAGGCACCTCATGTATGCCACTGAGCGTGTCTGAAAACAGCCTTCTGCTGCTGTCACTGCTGCTAGGCAGCAGCAGCACATGACACATCCAGCAATTTCTTTTCCCATAAGAACAGGAGGGAATGCAACACTACTTTAGCCTTATGTTGGTAAGAATCTATCAGGCTGTAATGAACTGCTCCTCCTAGGAATTAACTTTGGACTAAACAACCAAGTTTGATTCAGTAATGATTAAAAAACTAACATGCAACACCACCCAAACCCTTCTGCCCTTAAAACCTGTGAAATTAAGAAGCTAAATTTAGAAGGGCAAAACATCAGTGACTTAAGTGTGGAGAACTCTAGGAATTAAAGAGATAGAAACTACTTAGAATTTACATACAAAATAGGCAAGTTTACAGCAAAGGGCTCCTGAACGTCCAATGCTCAGCTGTACAAACAGAGTTTATTTATCTAGCATCAAAAACAAAAAGAACAGAAAGAAAATTAACTGATGAAAAAGAGCTCTATCACACCCACAGGACTGATGACAAAGGAGACAACAGAAGTCAGTCGTTGTCAGCTGGCCCCACACAGAGCATGGAAAGAGAAGTAGCAAATTAATACTTCCTATCACCACCATTATATTTTTAAAAAGTGTATCAAAGCACAGGAATGCATATTGGAATGCAATCATTATCACACTGCAAACCTACCTCCCATCGTAACAGGCTTGGAAACACTCTGCACCAGAAGATCTCTTTCCAGCATCCAAGATGGAAGCACTCTCTTTCTTTGAATAGATTTTGACTCTTTGCTTTCATTATTGTCAGAAAGAGGAACCTGAAAGAACACTTACTGTTTAGTTCTTTTACCCAGTCACAGAAGAGTGGGGGGAAACTAGACCAGAGTTTATGCCCCTCAAAAGCAGTCTGGGTAACCACCTACTTCTGGTATGGGGACCATTGCTCAAATATTTTAATTCTTTTTGCAGTTTCCACCCACTCAGAAAAACAACATTTATAGGAACCTTCATGCAGTAAAAACGAAACAAAATAAAACAGAACTTCTTAGATCTTTGGAATAAATACCTAAAAGGCTACAAACTGAAAGATTCATAGAAGAGCTTTACCACCACCTTGCTCTAGAGTTTCCCTACATAGATATAACAGAAAGAGCAAGTTTAATAAAAGTCAAATTAACATTAACAAATATGTCCAAGAAAAAAACCCCAAAACCCTGCAAACATAAAAGTCTTTCTTAAATTCCTATAATTTATTTCCCCAGAAAGTAACCAGACTCTAAATCTCTGTAAAAACAATGCAAATACACCAAAGTCACATTAATTATTTACTGAAAACAACACTATCATTTTGAATTTCCTGAGCCAGTCCACCCCCGGGATCTCAACCACAGCAAAGGCTGACATTTCATTTGTATAGAGAACATAACACCTCCTTAACTTTCAACACATGCTTACAAATATTAAACTTCATTAAAAACTTCAACACCCACCAAAAATCTGGAAGTAGCATCATTATTCCTTGTTTTTGTGGCTCCCTGTACGTCAGAGCTGGAACATGCTGGTTCCATTAACAATGGAATACAGGACATCTCAACAGCAAGAACGTTGGTGCTTCTGCATCAGCCTCCTGATTTTTTTCTGACAAAACAAAATCAATTTTCTCTACTCACACACTACAAATATAAACATGCACTTTTGACTCAAACACAAAAGTTGGTCTGAATGCTTGCCATTAACAAATGCAGTTTGAAACTGATCATCAACATCCTCTCAACATCAGCTTACAGAGGAAATAAATGCACCTTCCTTTTACCTCATACCTAAAGAGTTTTGAACAATAGACTCTCTAATAACTGCTGACCCCGACTGTGCTGTTTTGGGGCTTCAGTACATAATTTACACTGGTTGCTGCCATGACAAAACTTTGAGAAAGCTGAAACTGCATATTAGAATTTGCTTTATGGTAAATCTGCACAACTCTCCAAAATCTGATCCTACTTTAAAAGTCAGGCAACAATTTTAAGATGCAGCTTTCAGGATCAGATGCCAAATGAATCAAGCACTTCCCAGCAAGTTCTCACTACAGGCTATAAGCCTGCAGCACTGAAATGACACTAGATACACAGGTGCTAGATTCAAAAGCCACAGTCCAGAGCCACTACATCTAAAAAGCTTTTTAGGTTATGAAAGCACACCCAAACTGTAACTGTTTTTCCTTCAACACATTGCCTTTTCACTACTCAATTCACCAGCACAAACAATCAGGGAAAAATAATAGCTGGAGTATTCCCTGCACAGAATCACTGGGGAGTCTCTGCCAACCCTTCCAGAACTTTCTGCACTGCAGAGATGGCACATTGACCAGCTGAACTTTGTCGCCCTAGGAAGAGAAACACCAAAGGCTAAACTCTGCCCGCACCCCTTCAGCTCTTCAGGGGCTCACAAAACCCCAGGATGGGGGAGGTTCAGTGGGACCACAGGGGTCATCTGGCCCCAGCTCCCTGCTCAAGAAGGGTCATCCTACCACACGTGGCACAGGATGGCATCCAAATGGTTCTGGAATATCCCCACTGAGGGACACTCCTCAACCTCTCGTGGCAATCTATTCCATGCGCAGCCACGGCACAGGAAAGAAGTTCTTCCTTATAGTCAGGGGGAACTTCTGGGCATCAGTTTCTGCCCATTGCCTCCTGTCCTATAGTTCTACACCAGTGGGCACAGCCTGGTCCATCCTTTCGGCACTCTTCTTTTAGATACTTATACTCAAGAATGAGATCTCCTCTCCGCCGTCTTTTCTCGAAGCTGATCAGACCCAGCTCCCCCAGGCTTTCCTACTACGAGACTCTCGATGCTCCACTCTCCCGCTGGAGCCGAGCTTTCCCCGCCCCTTCCACCCACGGCAGAGCCGCCGCGGGCTACAGCGCTCCTCCTTGAACCGCAAAGCTGCGGACACGAACCACTCCGGCCCTGGGAGCGGGGGCCGCTCCCTCGGGCCCGCGGCTCTGCGGGGCTGGACCGGCCTCACCTCGAGGTTGCCGGAGCCGCTGGGACAGGGACGGAGGTGGTGCCGAGGCCGGCAGGAACTGCCGCCGCCTGATGACGCGCGGCCGCCCCGTGACGCGCAGCTTCCCTGGGCCGCGCGGCGGCGCCGCCTCCGTGGTCCCGAAAGTGCGGAGATTCGCCCCGAAACCAGCGCCCCACGCGCACACCCGCAGCGGGCGGGTGACGGGGACATGGCGGCAGGCAGGCACCCAGCCCAGAGCGCTGCCGGCGGCGGCCGCCCTCACACAGAGAGGCCGCAGTGACGCCTCCCCACCCCGAGGCCTCGGGGATGGACGCGGAGCGCGCTGCCGGCTGGGACAGCGCCGAGGGAGGAGGAGGAGGACTGGGTGACTTCGTGTCTGCCCTTCCTCCCGAGATCATCTCCCGGATTTTCAGTGGGCTGGATGTCGAGAGCTTGTGCCACGCGTCCGTGACGTGCAAGGTCTGGCACCGCGTCATCGACAGCAACGAGCGGCTGTGGCGGCACCACTGCCTGGCCGTGCGCGCCGTCTGCCAGCGGGAGATCGACTGCGACCGAGGGAATGGCTATTCCTGGAAGGTAAATCCACCTCCAGCGGTTGAACACCGGCAGTGACATAAACGAGAATGCTGGGGGCCAATAGAAAAGTGTAAGGAAATGACATCCTGTCACACCCATCCCAGGGTTGTGAGGGGGACGGCTGCGGTGACAGCGTGGCTCGGTAGCGCATCCTGGCAGACGGACATTTGGTAAAATACACTGGGAGATAAAGCAAAGCTGTCCCTTTTCCTACCAGGACACAACCTGTTCGGCTCGGCATTAGTCCTCCTGCTGCTCCGCACAGCCTCAGCGCTGACCTTCGTCATACACAAGCCCTAACACCAGACAAAACCCACGTTCCCACCGATAGGGCCGGCAGGGACTAGGTAACAGAACTCCGATAGGTGGTGTGTGCTCTCTGGTTGTATTTTGTGGGAATAGATGTGCTGGTTAGGAATGTCTTCCTGAAAAATCATCCTGGATAGTGCTGTCTCAATCCACCTCAAGTGATGCACATTCAGAAGGAAAAAAAAGGGAATAAAAAAGGAAATGAGCAGGAGCTTTTATAAACTGTTTAGAAACTCTCCCCCCACACAGACTGCTCTGAGGAGTTTGCAGCAGGTTTAGCTCCAGAACCTGCTGAATGATCTCTCACTGTTGAAATCAGCCTGGAAGTTGAGATAGATGAGGACCTGATCAGGTAGACCAGATAGGTGGTTCTACAGATTACTCTGGGCCAGCTATAGGGTAGTATCCCACCTTATTTTAGTTAGTGTGTTTGAGAGCACTGGAGGGGTGAAAAGAGAGAAGCAGCAGCAAAAGAAACAAAAGCAGCCGCTAGACTGACATTTCAGTAAAGTTTCTGCAGTGTGAGACACAGCCGTGAGCAGATAGTGGTTACCCTTTCAGTGTGTAGATCTTGCTGCCCTTGCACAGCAATTTCCAGAGCTCCCTGCACTGATTGTCTGTTTTATCTGGAAGGGATTTGAAATAGAAGCTACAAACACACCAAGTCTACATTTTCTCGCCCTTAAAGGCTGGCAGAAGAGAAGAACCCAGACAGCCTCCAAAGTAAAGAAAGGTCACAGCCTTTTTTAAGGTCACACCTTTTTTAAGGTGCCTTTTTTAAGCTGTAAGACAAATTCCTGGTATGGGTCATTCATCTTGACCACCAAAGAATTGAGGCAGGAACAGAAAAGTTCTGCTTCTTGGCAGCATTGCCCTTTCCTGGATTTAATGTCTAGATATCCAAAGGCACATTTCAAATCCCTTTTCTAGCACTACTCTTTTAGTGTAAACTTGTTATATTGAATGCAATTTAAATTGGTTCCTTTCCGAGATCTGACTATGTGTTTTTCCACCAGATTACATTGTTGAGGAACTACTGGAAAAGCAAAGTGAAGCAAGAATGGCTTAGTGGGAAATACAGCAACATTCCTTCACAATTCAGTTTGCCAGAGAAAAGCATGTATCCAATGGATGTCGACACATGGGGAGAAATCTTGGAAGCGGAACTTGAGAGATGATAAACCAGTGCTGATTCTTGCAACTCAGACAGCTTTTGCCCATAGCAGATACACTGTTCAGCAGTTGTGAAACTGATTTTGAACTGATTATAAATTTATGATGAAAACTTCTCCAAAAAAACGTTATGGGTGTCTTTTTTAATTTGCATTTTACTGTAATAATTTTATGTCACATTCTAAAAACAACTAAATATTCAGCTGTAATTTATATTTATAATTGTAATGTTCTACTGCACTGTCAAAAATATGCTGATTATAATTTCAGTTTGCACTTTTTGTTTTGGAAGAGATGATTTTTATATTAAAAAACCCAAAAAAAAAAAACAACCCACAAAAAAACTCAAAAACCAACCAACCCCCAAAAACCCCCAAGGTGTGTTTGACCTTTCAACATGAAGTGTATTGTATCAGCAGCACATGAGAGCCCGCAAAGGAAGGCTGGGGAAGGGACAGATCCAGACACCGGAAAGAATCCTCTGCGCAGCAACGCTCCGTCCCCCTCCGAGCCGAAAGTGAGAGAGAGAGCGAGGAGTTGAGCCCAGCCCCTCACCCCCTCGCTGTATCTCTGGCCTTTCCAAGGAAAAACAAACCCTCACCTGTGAGAGACTGCAGCCAGCTGCTCCCCCTCCGTCTTGGCTACATGTTTTGTCTCTCTTAAGTACCATCGTTATCATTTCTTAGTCAACAGATGGGAAAAAAATCCCTGAGAAAAAAGGGAAAGAAAAAGGAAAAATCCTAACCTCCAACAAGTGTAATTCAGAGTAAAGAGCATTCCTAAATATAGAGGATGTAGCAGAAAAATCAGTGAATTGCAAACTCTGCTTCCAGTATTGTTAGCTGTTCTACTCCAAGATTATATCTAGTTAGCTCAAATTAAAAAAAAAAAACAAAAACAACACAAAAAGGCATACCCAAGTACATTGAGGGTAGTGCTTCACTCCCTGCTCACAGCATGTTTTACCCTGACTTAAGAGAACTAAAAGTGCAAAAAGTGCATCTAAGTTAAGCAAGATGAAAACAATACTAGCAGAACATTCTCATCACCTCAAATCTGCCCAGGTTTTTTTTAATCATAGCATAAGGAAACTGCTCAATAATGGATCTAGTTCCTCACTTTTCTCATCCAGCCTTCACTGTTACCTCTAGTCTGTAACTCCCTGACATTTATCCCCTATTCCTGCTCCTTTCATGCCCTTATGCTGTACGTTCTCGTGTATTTGTCTCAGGATACAGTTTGTAAATAGAATAATATTCAGGTATGAATCCTAAAACAGTTACTTCACTGTGCGCTTGGCTGTAGCTTTTCCCCACTCTCGAATGAGAATTAAGAATCCCCAGTATCTGTTGGGTCTCTGCCTCTATTCAGATCAGATGGCTGTGCCTCTTTAAAAGCAAGGAATTAAACATGCAGCTATGCAATTACACAAGGCCTGCATCTCTAAAGCTGTAGTACCAGTGGTGTATATTTCTTGTGAAAAATCTATTAGTGAGAAAAAAAATATTTAAGTACAAATCCACATAAAAACAAAGTCTTCTTCCTCTCCTTACTCTGACTCTATCCTTTTGTAGTGTATGGTAGAGATAACTCATGCTATATATGTATAAATATTGTAAAAGTCCGAAGTTTTTGACCACTCTGGCTGGGAGCAGAGTCTTATTTCCATTCAATCAGTTCCCAGACAACATTAAGATAATATCGAGTCTGTTCATGTATGAATGAAACATTCCCGGGCCATGGTTGCTGACTTCCCTGGCATCTGCACCTGGGAAGATTGCATCTACACCTTCCTGGACCATGATTGCTGGAATGTCTAAGCTACTCACCAGACCTGCATGGAGAAGATTACATCTGCTGTGCTCAAGAACTCTGCTACATATGAATACAGACTCTACCTAGATGCTCAGACATTCGTCTGGATCCCTGGACCTACCTTTGTCTGTTCCTGCACATGTATGGATTTAGTTCTACATGTGAAGAGACACAAAGAAACATTCGGTCATTCCTGCCTCAGGCAGAATAAACTGTATATAAGCCAGCTGCTTGAAGCATTCCGGGTGAACCACTGGGGAAACGCTGACACTTTGTCAGTCAGATCCTGATTCACCCAGCGCTGACACCCGGGGTTGACGCTGCCCGAGGCTGTGGAGGTTTTTTTCTCAAAATTCTATTTTGTTAACGATCTAAGAAATCTTTGTTAAATTTTTTTATAAATTTGGCTACCGATTTTATAATTTATAACTCTTTAAGGGTTTTAATTCCCCCTGGAGATTTCATTACATCAATTCTGGTCATCTATTCTACTCCTCTCTGCCCCTGCACCATCTACTCAGCCTCCCATCTCTGCTGCAGGATGGATGTGTTCCTTTCCCTTTAAGGACATCCCAGCAGCATCCAGTGGTGCACTCCTTGCACCACCTGGTTTGGGCTGCTAACAGAAGCCACTGAAATGCCAGAAATAGGAAGATTGTAAAAATAGGAAGAATGCCTAAATTAGCATTCATATGTGGGTGTCCTTCCCCAGAGAGCATGCTCAGCAGCTTAAACCACACATGTAAAGCCCACACCACCTGGGGCACACATTAGCTGCCCTCACACCTTGGCTGGTGAAGCCCTTTTTCCGCTCCAGTGCTTACCTCTTACCCACAGGTTTTTGCTGAAGTGCCAAGTTCTGCTTCTGCAAACCCCACTGACCTTCCATTGTCATGCTATTTTTATGCCTCTGACACTTGGAAGGTGTCAGCTGCAGAAAGGTGCCCAAGGTGTCCATCATCTAGGCTTTCCATTAGCCACCTGTGATGCCTCAGGTTTTAGCTTTTATATTTTTCTGATTCCATACTGCTTTAGAGTGTACTTCTGAGCTTCATATTAGGGAGTAGTAGGCTCTCTTCACAGAGTAGGTAGACAAAACAATTCCTTCTCCAGATGGAGACCAAGGACACATGATCCAAATTTCAGGCCCAAGAGCATAAACAACAGTGGACTGAAGAGAGCAAAACAAGGATGAGACTTCATAACCTAAAGCTATAATTGGACAGTTAGCTCCAATATGCTAATGGACCAGAGCTTATAAAAGTGTGAGACCTCGTGACCAGTCATCCATTTTGTGACCGTTTTGAGTTCATCTTGGGTGTAGCCCTGGCTGGGCTCTTGTGCTGCCCAAGGTGTATCCGTTGAGGCCTTCTAATAAATAGGTACTTTATTCTTTAGCTCCATCTAGTCTCTCTTCTAGGTCAGCCTTCACAAGTCTGGCGTTCCTGCAATTCACCATCCTACCCACCTGGTTTTCCCTGGATACAGAGCCCTTTGGAGAAAGCATGTGAAGTTTTTGTGTGCAGAGCTGCTTGCAAATGTTTTCTGCCCACACAAGTCAACTATGCAACAAGGCCTTAAACCAGCCATGCTTCTGTGAGAAAAAAGTCTTCTCTCCTGCACGAAACCCTCTGAGGTGCTGCACAGCTGGATATCAAAAAGACCAGCACTGAAGCTCAGCTGGAGGGCCCCCCAGGTCAATATTTTATTTCTGCATCTCCAAAATCACCTGTGGTGTTTTTAATAACACCTGTTGGTGTTAGAACCTTCTTTGCAACTACTCATTGTTGCAGTGCTCCATTTTTGAAATGACTAGCTGACAGTGTGGCTTTATATCATCATGGCACAGGATGTGGCTTTGGGCCATCACCATTAACTGACTACATGAAAAAGTATGCACGAGATATTTAATCATCACAGAGTTTTAATCAGACCACTCAAATTTCAAGGTTAATTTTGTCAAGTGTTTCTGCCAATAGGCAGAAACGTGCAGATAGTCATGTCTTTATCCTGATCATCTTCGGAAGGTACCAAGTGACAAAGTTATCCTAACTGAAGGCAGAACAGTTGAGCTCAGGACTGGAATCAATTGTTTCAGTCCACCAGAGGTGACAGGAAGACAATAAAAGCATACAGCTGGGAGGGCTTAGGTGGTGGTGGTATTATTTTTTTATTTTCCCTCCAAATGAACTTGAGATGAGGTATATTGGGCTCCCAAGAGCACGTTGACACTTGACAGCTGTTTTTCACCATATTTCTTGTTTAGAAAAGTCCATCTCCAAAACCACAGAAGAAATCACCTGCTGCATTTAACACCTTAAGTCAGCAGCAGCTTCTGATCAGCACAATGCTAAGAATTGAGTGTAGGGGGCCGGGAGGGGTTGAGGCCTCAGTGTGAAGGGCTAGACCCACTTCTGTTATTCTGGTAAACCAAAAAACCCCGGCTACAGCTGTGGGTTGAAAGGGAAGGAGGGAGGTGATGGACTGCAAACTCAGAGATCCTGAATGACCTACCAAGATTAAAGCCAAGAGGATAACTCTATGTACTGGCACAGTTTGCTGCAGTCTCCCCCAGCTCACATTTTAAAAATGTTGTTAAAGCTGCATTTTTAAAAACTTTAAAAACCTTAAGGGGCAAAGGAGCTGCTTTTTGCCAATCCAGGGGTGCTGACTGCATGAGCTGTTTTGTTGGTGAGATACCAGAGCTATACACAAGGGCTTCTCCAGATGCCACAGGACACAGTGGCCATGAGCTAATGTATCACTCATAGCACCAAATATTGTTTTTAAACATTTCCATGGTTTCAGAATGCCAAAACCAAAAGATGCTGTCAACTACCTATTGGAAGATTCAGCTTGAAGACTTGAACTGAAGGTGTCGGTTGAGCAAGCTGGGAGCAGAGAGAAAACTTCAGTCAAACAAACCAGCCACCTTAAGCCTTTAATCCTGTATGGGAAAAAGGAAAAGTTGAGAAAGACAAAGTGGGGTTTTTTTTGCAGCAGTATCTAGTAACTAATAAATGAAATATTACAATACCCCATAAGAGCTTTACTTGTCTGTTCCATTGAAGGAATATTTTCAATAGTTTCCCCTACTTTTCCATCCCATTGCTAAAGAACACATTGCTACTGATATGTGGGATATCCCAACACTTAGGTTTCACACTATATAGACCTTTAACAGCATAGCCAATGATAAAAAGGTGCCAAAAGTCACCCACTGTGGCTGACCAGAATAAATTGGCTTTTCTAATGCATCTTTATTTTTGAACACCACTCGTCTATAGACAGTTTATTTCACTAAGTTACACTTTTCTTTAATTTTAACGAGCAGCTCATAAACGTGTGTACTTAGAGATAACACCAGGAACCTGCTCAAACAGGGACCCAGTACCCATAAAGGAGTTACATGTCTATGTACAGCCCACAAGTATGAGGAGAAGAGAGGAAGTTTTTACTGTTTTAAGGGGGTGACTAAAGAACATGTTATGTTGTAGCAATGCTAAAATGACACTAGGCATTTATGTTTTCTCATCCAAGATCCACTCTATGATGCCTAAAAGCAGAAATGCAAGCTACCTTTAGGATGTTTAAGTCGAAATACTTATAAGAAGAAGGATATGGAAGAGGGCAGAAGAGAATAAAGGGAAAATTGAAGATGTAACTTGGGAAATAAAATGTTTCTTTAAGTAAAAGATATTAACTGAGAGAAACCCAAACCAACAAGCCAATCTTATTTTACCAGTTGTATACCAGAATCATTAAAGACTTCCTTGTAGCAAAAAGCTACATAAGAGTGTTAAAAGCCTGATCTAAATAACTCTTCCTAGTATTCAAAAAGGTCTCACACATGTGCAATGATTTTGTTACTGTACTTTAACCATCATGTACTTGGGAAACACAGCAACTTATGCTTTCAAAAGCAAGATATCTACATACACATATAGCAGAAGCAAGAGGGGACAAAAGAGATGGTTTCTTGATTTTCTTTTGATATACTTTGGAGATTAAGAAAGGATTTTCAGACTTTTCCTTACAATAGGGAAGCAGGTACAGGAAAAGACATACTCTGATTTATGATTATGATTTATACATGATCATACACTGATTTACATAGTTGATACTCTATTAGTCTGCAATAGGCTGTTCTAGTATATTTGATAGAGAGAGAGGCTAATGGCAATACTTTGAGAGTTCTCAATATCCATTTTATATCAGAGTTTGAGAATGTAGGAAGATTAGGATGTCTAATTGTTTGGGATTTTTTAATTAAACTAGTCAATCCCCAGGTCTTTTTCCTCTCCCTTGATCCCATTTATTAATACTCAAAATTGTGGTGAAAAACATACTGAAGGCAAATTTTAAACAATACTAACATCATCTCTCTCCCTTTCAAGTGCTGGAAGCAAAGTTCCATCAGTTTTATTAGCATTTCCGTTTGATTATTTTCCTCCCGCCTGCTCAGTCATCTTTTAATGAGTTGAAGAAAAGGAGGGAAAGACATTGTCATCTTAAAACAAAGGCAGAGACCATGCAGGAAAGCAAAGAGTTTTAATGTAGCCCATAAAATTTCACATGGAAGGCAAATGAAGCATGAAAAGCAGTGTTTTATTCACTTTTCTTATAGTCGAAGTCTCCCTTTTACTGCACTAGAAGGAAAAAAAAAATTAAGCAATCTACAAGACCCAAAGTATGGAAAGTCACAGTTTTTGTTCTAAATGCAAAGCAGGAAGTGCTGTGTTCTTATCAAAACCCTCCTCCCAAGCTTATTTTGAAGCCAAAAAAGAAGTTCTATTTCAAGAAGTCTGATGAGTAACAACAAAAGAAGAACTTTGTTTACCGTCAGAGTTCACTTTGAGCATAGAAAAATCTCTATACATCAACGAGAAGATCACAGCTCACAAACAAAAATTACTTACACTTTTCAAAACACAAACTGAAGAAATACCAACAGAAATACCAACAACCTGCAGAGGACTCTTATCTACTCATTTCCTTTTTCAAGTTCCTCCTACAGTCTCCTACAGTTTTAAAAGGTACAAACTGAAAAAGAACAACCGAAAAACCCACCCCACTGCCCTCCTCCCAAAAAGTCCCACCCTACTTAAATGTTTCTGGCCCCCACCAAAAAGATTATTTAGGGAAATTTTTTCTGGATTTCAATGTTGCCCAAGCTTGAACTCAGAACAAATGGAGAAACACTTCAAACAGTGAAAAGCACTTATCAAGAGCCCTGTGAAGCAAGTAGTTTGAACTTAAAATAACTTCTCAAATATTTGAGAACAAATTAGTGGGGAAAAATAGGTGTTTAATGTTTGTAGTAAAGTGAACTCTAAGCCAAAGACAGAAGAGGTACTACTCCATTGAAGAGTTATAGGTAATGTTGCAAGAAGAAATGAAAAGAAAAACTTTTCTAAAAGAGAGGTTTGACAGTAAATGTTAGATACCTCAGAGGCCTTAATGAGTTTTTTTGTCTTTATGAAACAATTTTGCTTAAATATTGCTAAGTAAACTGTTCTATTATTAAAACACCTTTTCAGTAGGCAGTTCACACTTTCTGTTAACTGTTCTTTCAAATAAAAAGCAAAGACAGCACACTGCAAAAAAAGCACCAAAATAACTACACTTATCAACAAATTATATCACCTTACCCTTCAGAAGAAAGCTGTGGGGCAGGGAAAGTAAACAGCTGTTTGAAAAAAAATGCTAGAGACATATTAAGTCCAAACTACATCCATATGTGTTGTCTGTTGGATTATAAGAAGTACTAACACTGACTCAAGCTAAAAGCTTGTTGGGCTGGGGTTATTATTTTTTCAGCATCTGTGTTTGTGGTTTGCACCATTTTCTTTTAAACTTCATTTTAAAATGGAAGTAGGAGCGCTGTGTCTGTGTGGGTGTTTTTATGAGTGCGTGGTTAGGCAACATTACGAAAAATCTGACTCTGACTGTAGTAAGCACGTAGGCAGTGTTCCAGGGGAGAGAAAATTGCTCAATGCAGGTTGTGGCAAGACAAACATGAACTTAAGAGGATATTTATATAAGATTATATTACACAAGTCTTTCAGACTGAAGATAATAAATACAATCCCTATCTACAATGATTTGTGTATTTTGCTGTCCTTTAGACTAGGTCTTTCTTATAAGTAAAAAATAAACCGACGTTAATGTAGTAGTTGCTGAGAGTGTGGTAGAAGTGTGATTTAAATAGTTAGAGGGTGAAAGTTAGAGGAAGCATGACACAAGTAGGTCTGCTCTTCTGTTTCCTCCCTTTTGTTGGTAGTTCCTTGCACAAAGCTGTCTCTCTCTTCTTTGTGCCTGTATTCATGATCTGTGCCTCTTCCATGCCTTCTGAGTTACTGAGCTGGCCTTATCATTTCTGATTGACATGTAGCTGCTTTTTAATTCTGAATTCCCTTGGACAAGATCTTCTCACTGCTACCAAGAAGCAGAGGCACCTACAAACCCTTGAAATGTGTCTTCTGAAGCACTAGTTATGAGATCACAGACCTCATCAATATAGGATAGTACAAATATAAGAGCTGTCCCATAAATACACTGACTATCATCCTCTGCCTGAGAAAACACCATTTATGGTGGACAGCCATACCTTGGACTGGGCACAAGTTAAAATTATAAGGTCATGGACTGGTAAAACATTTTAGTTTTATTAAATTTTGGCAGCCACATCTCTCCTTTGGTAAGCTGGACAAGTTTCTGTTATGTGGTTGTGCGGGGTGTTTTTGTCTCTTTTCCTGTGCCCTTGGGTATTTTTGGGTTAGTGAGCTCTGAAAGCAAAAAAAGCAGCAACAAGCAGCAATTATCAAGAAAGCAGGCTGAGCAAAAAGTGGGTCTTTTTACCATTAGTCTTCCTTCCTCAGAATGACACATCAGACTTCAATGATCCCGATAGCTTGCATGAGAGACAGGAAATGCCTGCCAGAAACTGATTTCTGCTGGCCAACTGAAGTGGACATGATGATGCAGTGTCTCAGCCTGCTGCTCCTGCAAGGCTGTGTTTTCTTTGGGATAAGAAATGCAAGGTAATAGGGCTTCAGGCTCATTAGCTCAGCTACAGGTATAATTAAGCACAACTGGAGAGAAGCTTTAGGTCTGCATTTATTTTTAGATGGGAGAAATCCCAATAAGAATTCTTAAGTATAAGGTACCTCATTAGATCTATGAACAGAGTTTTAAAGATCAGTCTGTACCAGGAACAGCCTACATGCACAGTCTGACATTAACTTGATTTTCAACTCCTCCTTAGATTTTAAGACTTAGAAATTTGTTTGATATAGAGTCAGACAAAAATGCAAGGATTAATCAGGTGAACTGATTATCAAATAAAAATATTTATTTCAGTTACAAGCACAAGGTTTCTCTTATATTTCTAAGGCACAGAAGCAAGGACTGAGTATGGTACTGGACGTTAAAAAAGGAAAACCTAATCAAAACCACTTCAATAGTTCAATCAATAGTTCAAATAACCAACCCGTGCATCCTTGCCCTTCTCCTGCAAGATTCTTAATTCAAATAGAGTGCTGTACCTAACAACCCACCATCTGCTTTGTAGACCTAAATAAAAGGAAACAATGGTCCCGGGGCAGATTCTTGTGAAGAAATTTGACAAGGTTTAAAATTGGGTGATATAGAGTTTGGAGTGAGATTCCTTTGTGTTTGAAATACTGTGGGAAGAGACTTTTCCTCATATTGCTGTCATGGAGTTATACTTGGTTCCATAGCATATATATAACTCCATGGAGTTATACTGTGGTGTTTCCATAGCTGTCTGCGTTCTTCCCTCCCTGAATACTGACAGATTGGAAAGGAGTGGATCAAGTTTCCAAATGAGTTGACTTCTTTTTCTTGTATCTATGGCATTATTTGTATAAGTGAACAAGCAGCAACAAGATCTGATAAAGAAGAAAGTGTAAAACTTGTGTGGAGAAGACAGTGAAAATCCTGTAACACATCACAGGCTGAGGAGAGTGATTAATTGAGATACTCTCTGTCAGTGACATGACTGTGTTCCCTGTTAATGGTGAGATTCCTAATATCAGCTGCGGTAACAGGTAGAACCTTATCAAGGTCAACTGATTACTCTAAGCAACACACTAATATGGCATATTCTATGTTATAATTTAGTAAAATATTACCATAACACAAGTGGAAAAAATGTTAGTTTGTTAGTGCCCACTATAAAATTGAAACTTCCACCCAGTCCTCAACTGCAATATACAATCACTTTGGGATGATACTGCTTTCTCTTAGGGAAATGCCAAATTTTGCTTTGAATAACTAATTTAATTTGTCTATCTTGTTGGAAGATCATCTTCATTTACCAGTCCTAGAAACTGACTGGATTGCTTTGATCCATTCTGTACGCTCTGTGGATGAGGCTGCTTGCAAGTAATAGTGGATTTCATTTGCTGTGATGATTTCAAAGAGGATGTTGTCAGCATCATACTTCTTGGCTACAGGAAAAAAGTAAGAAAGTCAGGTATGAGAGAATAAAGTCTTGTACTTTCAATGTTTCCTCCTTTACACCCTGTAAGGGGATCTCCTTTCTTTTTACAGCTCAGCCTGATCAGGCCTTCACAAACATTGGGTCCAAGACATGAGTCTCTCTCTCTCTCTCAGTGAAACCACTAATGAATTCTGCACATTTCACTTTCAGGAGTCACAGGTTTGTTGGTCTCAAATCATGGAAGGATCTGCAATCCTGCAGACAGATCCTATTCCCCAAACCGTCCCATGCCTTGCCAGCTACAAAAATAAGATGTTTATGTCATATCTGTTTCTTTTCTGAGATGCCAACAAACTCTCTTGCTGGATATGACAGCCAGCCTCTTATGTGGAGAGGAGAATGCATGAAATTAATGTTTCTTGGTCCTTGCAGCAACACCTTTTCTGTTCTCACAACTTCTAGCTTTGGGAAGGAAGAGAAGATGAACAGTAACAATTTTTCGGCATAACCATTTCTAACATGAAGCTTCCATCCCAAATTCATTAACTAAAGTGATCAAACTCAGCTTAATTTGCCTAAAGGCCAGTTCTCCTAACACAGGGTTTGTGTCATCCTTTTGATCAGCCTTCCCCAAAGTGCTGACAATATAAAAGATTCCCTATTGCTACTTTTACCACAGTGCCCTTCCCCAGTAATTCAGACAGAAGGAGAGAGATCAGTTACTAGAATTGCTGAATTATTGTACATAGATTGCTTTGGAATAAAAAACACTTGTGATTTTAGGCAGATTGAAAGGAGGGGTTTGTATCAAAAATTTATTAGAGAGATCATTCTATATGGTTCCTTACTGTCTGGCATATCTTCCACTGCTGTCACCACGCAGCCCCTCAAGTGAATTGCTCCCAGTGGTTCTTCTCCCTGGGGAGAACATGAAATCAAAATGAAATGCAACACTTCTGAAACCAGTAGCATGTTAACATATGGCTACATTTCCAGAATGGAGACAAAACCATTTTATTACTTAGTATGTCTCACCTGAGAGAACAGAAAATTTTCAGTCGGTGTTGACATGGAGGGTTAGGGCTGTGGTTAAATACCCTAAATAAATAGGGAATCTCTTGTGATTTAGAATTCAGGATCTACAGAGTATGTAGTGTGGGAATGGGCCCATTAAAAATACACAAGAAATAGGATGCCATGTCTCAGCCTAGCATGGCAAATACCTCAAATATAAATTGCAAAATTACTGCATTGTGTTCGTTTGCACTTAGGACCTAATTTGTTTTGATCAAGTGAGAGTATGCATTAATTCTAATTAATCACAAATAAGAGGTGAAATACAGATTGATGTTACTTATTCCCAGGTCTGGGGGGCACTTGCCACCCTGACTTTACAGCCCCAGAAACTATCCTTCACTCTGCTTTTCCAGAGGATGGCTAGGCCATGGAAGAACAGTCCCACTGTCCTGCCTGATCTTCCCTGTCACATTCTCATGCAAATACTCCTTTCAAGTACTTCTACAGGGCACTGGATTCAAAACAAACAGGGAAATAAACCAAATCTCTCTCACTCCAGCAGGATCATAATAGTGAAGATATGCAGGATCATCTCTTAAAACGAACTTTCTCACTTTCCAGTTCTTCCTCCGATGTCCCTAGGAAAATTCAAAACCAGGAATGTCACAGAACTGCTTGGCCTGCATGCAAATCTTACCCACTCGTGAGAAGATGGGCAAATACAAAAGGGAAATAAACAGAATATTCTGGACAGGAAATACTCACTGGAGTAGGACTTGAATCTGCCTTTTCTACATTTTAATCTTTTGCACAAGAACTGGGCTATCAAACTAGAACTGGGCTATCAAACAAACATTTCACACAGTCTGGTAGTTATGACATTCACGAGAGTTCTGTGAGAACTGGGTTTAACTACTTGCTAGAAAACATGGCTGCAAAGCGCCTTGCAGGAAGGTACCTTGAATTATTGGCATGGATGAGCTGAAAGTCTTTCTGTCCCTGCAAAGATAACAACAACAAAAATTCTTATCTGGCTTGAACACCCTGGAGGGCTCATGGCTGAGAAGCTCAGGCAGAGATATGGACATAAGTGCCTCATGGCCCGTTTTCATGACTGAAAAGGATGGGTATGGAAGCATTTTCAGCAGAAGCAGGGACCCTCCCAAGCAACGACCCTCAACTCACTGAGGGTGACCAAGTGCAGACTAACACTGGTGGAAGATTGTCATGAACCACTTCCTGTGGCATTTCAAAATACAAGTTTCTCAATTACTTCCTGTTTGCATGGAAGCTCTTACGAACTAGGTTGGTAAGAACGTGACAGAGTAAAAGAGCAGCAAGGTGTGGGTCTAATTTCTTCCATTGAGTAAACTGATTAAACAAGAGAAATACTTGTTAGCACCACCAAAAAGTTCCAAGGCCCTCAAAGACTATTTTAACAGTGCAGGTTCAGACTCAATATTAGGAAGCATTTCTGTAGAGAGAGGGTGGTCAAATACTGCAACAGGCCGCCTAGAGTGTTGATCAATTCACCATGTCTGTCAATGTGTAAGAAGCTTTTGGACAACAAAACCCTTAATGTGCTTTAACCCTTGGTCAGCCCTGAAGTAGTCAGGTGGTTGGACCAGAGGATTGTTGCAAGTCCCTCCCACCTGATCCATTTTATTCATTGAAGAATCCTGATTTTGCCTTCAGTTCACTGATATCTGCTTGCAATGGCCTTGGAAACACAACATTCACTGTATTGCTTAAAGTTTTGCAGGAAATGAAGGTATCCCGTTATCTTCTGTCTTATACATCAAATATTAGTGACTGAAACAACTCCTTTGCTCAAGCATGCTGAAAAAGTCCACGAAAACTGGCAACTGAATCCAGTTTTGTGTCCAGAGGGACACAGAGTGACAGCTTTTTTACCCGAGTTCAGTTTTGCATTGTACCAATGACTTGTCGCATCTTCTGTGTTAGGACTCTTTCCTAATTAAAGCTATCAACTGTTTTATTTTGTGGTAAGAGCAATTAACCTTGCAATATTTGTCCATAGTCCTGCTGCTGTGCTGCAGCAAGTGTTCCTTGTGCAAAGGAAAGAGAGACAGAGAAGAAACCTGCCAAGAGTGGAGATGCCATAGGGTAGTTTCTCTCTTATGTAAAGCTTTTAAGTGTAAAAGAGTAATCTTGCACCCATGGAACATCATCCTAGTGACAGGATGGAACATGGGCAGCACTGACCTGTTTCAGCAAACATCCTTGTTTGACAATTGTGCCTCTGAATTCTTCTTTTAGGACCACATCATCATCACTGGAATATCCCTCACAGAAAAATCCACTGTCTGGCTGCAAGACCACAAGAGAAATGTTACAGAAGTTACATAGTTGCTGCATGCTTATGTACATGTACCAATATGGCATCTTTTTGCTTCCCTCCATGCTGTTTTTTGCCACCCCAAATAAGATATTATTATTATTGTTGTTGTTGTTATGGTTATTGTTAAATACTGGAAGAGCCTCCCGGTGAAGTTGAGGAGCTCTCCAAGTCACCGTGGACACATTTCAATGTGAGGTGGAACCACACTTCTAAGATACCAAGTGAAGACATTGACTTTCTGTGGCCTCCTCACACCACACTGGCATTGAATCAATCTAAAAATAATCCAAAAGCAAGCAGGTCACACATGGGCTGCTACAAGAAGCAGCCCAGGAGGCCACAAGGCTGCCTTTACCAGGAGTGTCTCTGCTAACAGGTAAAGTCCCCCTAGCACAAACATATTTAGGAAAACAAATGAGTAGTGGGAGAGTCATTCTGCTGAAGCGAAGTGATTCCATGTGGTAAATATAAACAGAATTGTAATACCAATTTACTTTTTTTCACTTTATAGAAGGCATACTTTTTTGTTAGCATAAGCCCATAAGCCAAATATCTTTCAAACAGTATTTGATGTGGTATTTCAAGTTCTCCAAATCAGGCCACACAATATGAAGTAATGAGTGGAGAAGGCTGGGTATGACACCCAGAACAGGTTACTGGGGGATATTCAAAACTTTTACTTCTTTGCTCATGGGCAAGCTGTGTGTGTGCACGCTCACACTGAGTCGGATTTGATGGCTCTGCACAAAAAAGGGTTTGTAGCTTCTGCCACTCTTTGAAGCCCTGTGAGAATGATTTACTCTCTTCTCTTCCACTGAATCAACAGGGAAACAGATGGTTAAATTCTGGTCACCAGTACAAAAACAGGAACAAAGTCTAAGTTAAAAAGAACCCAGCCTAAAGATGCATACTATGTGAGCCTTCTATCACGCTTTGAGAATTCTCTACAAATTTGTTTCCCACACTTAGTCTCAGCACTCAATTCACACTTAGAAGGTGCCAGAAAAAAAAAAAAAAGCTGTCCTGGTTGCAACTATTAACGTGAGCAGGCTCATTCTGAGCATCACAGGAAAAAGACAATTAAGACAGATTTCTCCACTTCTGTACAATCTTTCCTCCAGGATTTAAGAAGCCCAACAAGAAGCATGAGAAAAGCAGAGCATCAGTAGGTGAGACAATAAAAAACCAGAATCAATGCTCACAAAGTAATAGTAGGCATCACTGAGATCCAGGAAGGGGGTGTCTGACAGTCCCTCTGCAGCTGCCTTGGACGTGTCCCCAGCAGGCTGTAGGTAGCCTTCACTCAGGAGGGAAGAGGCAAGCAGGAGACCTTCTTTGCGATTTCGGATGGAGCTGCTGGACAGCAGCCAGTCAATCACACAGGTGCCTGGTTACAAAGGAACAAAATATCAGCCACAAACCAAGAGAGACATGAAAAAGCCTAAAAGTGCACAGGAAACAAGCCTACTCCATGTATTCATCAATCTCCTGAAAAATATTCTTAGCAACAATATGGGGAGTTAATCTAGGGAGGTTCCTGGCCATCCAGCGAGGTACAGCCTTTCCAGCTGATGGCAGGGGCCAGGACAGCTCTCAAACACCATTTCTGATGGAGAAGAGAGCTGGGAGGGGACACAGGGCTGAGCTGGGAAGCCTCAAAGGCAGAGACTGGGGATGTACGGAGGATAGCCAAGCCTGGATCCAGGCTGCTATGCTGCTAACATAATGCTGTTGGAAATCACCAAGGTTGGAAAATACCTCCAAGATCATCAGTCCAACCATTAACCCAACACTGGCTTGTCCCTCCATAAGCAATGTCCTCAAGTGCTACATCTATGTGTTTTGAGCACAAATACAGATTTGATTTTGAGAGAAACAGGAATTACAATGGGACACTGTTTGGTAATGAAAAATCCAGAATGGAATAATTCTTCTGTATTTAAGTGTTTCACTCTACAATCTACTCAAAAGATTACTTTAATCTTTCCAACTCTAGTAAAATTTCATCCTTCTCCTTTGTTTACCGTGGCCATAACTGAACACTTTTCCAAGATATATCTTTGAGCATCTCCTGGATTAGTCAAGAAAAAAAAATCAAACTTTTATGTGCTCTACAGAGTTTAGAGCTGTTTCACCTCTTTAGTTTTTCAACTCTGCGCTCCCTTCATTGTATAGAATAGAGGGACAGGAGCTCCTTACCTGTAAAGCAGTGATTAAACACTCTTTTATCTTTTTCCAGCTTCAACTCCTTTATTCCCTTTTCAGGATCTTTCATTGAGAGGTACAAAGCACTGTGCATAAAAAGAACCACAGAAACTGTTAGCAACTAAAAAGGTTTTTCCAGTTTGTACAACAATATCATTGTCATCATGTTCAGCTCTCTGCAGAGCTGTAACATGTCTTAGTTTCATCTCTTGCATCTCCTGAAAAATTCAAGTTGCAAAAGCCTAGACGTCTCACTACATTATTTCACAGCTGTGGGAGCAAAGGGCAGAGTGCACAAAGGGCTCACCACATCCCCCTATTTTGAGAATGCAACTACTTGTGGTGACTGTAGCATGAAGAAAGGAACACCCACTGCTGAGGGACCTTCACAGGGCCCCACAGACTCAGCAGGAGGGTTCACTGCTGTGCTCTGTGTTCACCCAAAGGTCCTGGGCTGAGCAGAAAACCTGTCCCTGTCCCAAAGCCTGCATGCTCTCAGATGATCTTGGCCCTGTGCAGTTTTACTGTCTTATAAGAACACTTCAGGCTCATTTTTATCTTGGTATTTACAGCTCAGAGTCAGAAAACAAGTCATCCTTGATTTTGAAAAGTACTAACAGATTGCTTCCCTTTATCTCCTCTTCTCCCTTTGCCAGTTTCATGTTCTTTGGCAGGCACCACAGTCCCCTCACCATCCAAAAACTAGGCTAACATCAGAAGAAGAGAAGATAGAGAGCAAACAAAAGGTCTAAAATATTTTTTGTAATAAATGATTTATTGTATAAAATGCTTCTCCTGGAAGAGTCACACTTTGCCTGGCACATCCTCTTGCACTCCATTATGCCCAGGAATCTCTTTATCAGCAAAAAATCTTCAATAAACAAGCATGTTTTGGTAAATGATAGCATATTCAAAAAGATCTTTCCAGTTCTGATTGCCAGCTCATTTCTGACACATTGTACAAACTGAAGTTTTTAGTCATGCAGAAGGGGCCATGAGAGAATCCATGGACAGACAGGCTCATTGTTCTTCCTGGCCAAGGTTACATATCTGACACACTGACTACAGATGGAAGTAAATGGGAGAGCAGAGCCATGAGAACAAACCTCAGATTGATTGTTTCAGGCAGTCTGATGGACTTCCTTGTGGATTTTCTGGCAAATCTTTGGCCTCCATCTATGTGATGAATTGCTTTCTTGATATCCCGCACCCAGGCATCTCTCTCCTCCAGGTAGGCAGCTTGAAAAAAATGGTCCTGCTGCTTGGCCACAGTAAGCTTGAAGACAAACTGGAATAATAAGTTACAGGAGGGTTTTTTTAAAGTTGCTTTTGTGTAGCCAGTTGGGCACAATTAAGCTGCCACAGCATACAGCATACCTATGCCTAAGGACTATAGAAAGTGCCTTAGAGACACAGTAAAATGATAGAAACTCTGAAGAAAACCATGAACAAGCACTGCACATAACTGAATCCTTTTGTTACTTCACCATCACTGATGCTGACATCATCAGCACATCCAAGGTCTGCTGTGGAGGCAGCTCTCCAGTCACAAAGAGAAACAGACAACTTTCCCAGGCATTGTTCTGGGAAAGGCTGTAAGGAGCTCAGAGAGAAGAATTACAAGCAATTCTTATCTTGCTGCACCTGGTGTTGTGAATATGTGGAATGTGTTATGGAGATATGTTTACCAAAAAGGTGGTTTCTTAATTAGCCAATGGTGACGGTGTTTTAATTAAAGGACCAATCAGGTCCACCTGTAGTGAACTACAGTATAAAAGGAATGGGTTTCTTAATAAAATTATTTAGTCTTCTGTAAATGCATGGAGTGTGGCACTAGTTTATCTGTGTTGTTTCTGACTCAATAGCAACAGTATGTGGCACCAGTACAGCTGCTGATTCTAACTTTTGCTGAGAAGTTCAACACAGCTGAAAGGCTGAAGTGATTCCTTGGAGTGGCTACCTGGAAGAGAGGCTAGACAAGATTAAGAAAATAAAAGTGGGTATTTATTAAAGGCCTTCAATAGGTACACTTTGGGCAGTCAGAAGCCTTTGAGGGGCTACACCCAAGATGGACAATGGTCACAAGTTTTTCAGACAGATATAAGTTTGGTCCATTTACATATCAGGAGTTAATATTCCAATTACAGCTTTAGGTAATGAAGTCATGTACCCCCAGTTTCTTCCCCCCAACTCACTTTTATTTATACTTTCAGGGCCTGGAACAGTGAGGTGTTGGGCTTCAGGCCTAGAGAATCATTTTGTCTGACCAAAATGTGAAGCAGTAGCTAACACTTTATATGGAGTTTTACAGTTATACACTGGGATTTGAAAAAGATGAAAATTAAAATCCTTAGGCATCAGAAGCACCCAGCCCTTGCAGGCTTACAATGGATGTAAATTTTTTTAATGTTTAGAGACACGTGAGCAGTCTGAAGAAGGAAAAATACCTCACATCATATTCAGCTACTGTCTCACAAGGGGAGAAAAGGTCATACACTAGAGAGTACCTGAGTATATTTGCAGCCTAGTAAACCTTTAATGGCTTAGTAGGGAGATGATACCTCCAACCCTTGGCTACACCTTAGGATCACCTATCCAAACAACAATGGAAACACTGTATTTCCCAAAAAATGCGAATAGGTCATCTAGAGGTAGTTGTAAACAGAAAAAGTAACAATAACCTGAAAAAAACCCAAACCAAAACAAAAAACAAACCCCAAAACCATCCAACAAAGTTCACACTGTTTGAACTCATTTCCATCCAGTGATCTTCTGGATGGAAAATCAGGATCTAATTAATCAGGTTTCCACTTCCTCTAGTGTCATGAGTGACACTAATTTGTTCTGTAGTTGTATTATAATAAATATCACAGATTCTGACTCAGCAGGTGTCTAAAAATGCCAAGCTAAGCCACAAGCCAACAGCACGGCTTCATTAGGGCAAGGAAAGCAAAGGCTACTGTCAAAGAGCAGCAAATTTACATCAGTGAAATCAGGACTCTGAATGAGTCTGCTGAAGCCCATGTTTGTAAATTATACATTTCTGAACATCCCTTACAAGCATTTTCCAAACTACGGCCAACAGGAAAAAATCTGACACCCTGAAATTGTGCAGAAGTCCAACTCAATTTCATGGAAGATACATTTCAAACTTATAAAGCAACAAGTCCTCGAAGTCCATCTCAGATAGAAAAGCAGCCTTTTCTTATCTGATAATGTTCATATTTCTAGCAATACTCAGCTTTTCTGTTATGCAGGAAAGACTTACATACTAAAAATCAATGCACAGTGTATGACAAAAGCAAACAGACAGATCTATCCAAATCCCAATATTCAACAGTCAAGCTAACACCCCAGATTAATAGAATGAAATACCAAAGCATTGATGAGATTTTTTACCAAAGGAAAAGAATAGCCTTCTCAAAGAGCTGAGAAGCAACCTAGAGTGAAATGCTAAGAAGAGTTTTTATTTCCAGCACACAGAAAAGACTGGCAAAGCCATTTCTTTTTAGCATTTACAAAGTTAGGCCAGTAAGTATATGGACTTCCAGGCTTCGTCTGAAATTGGTAAAGAGGTTGATTCTCCAGTCCTAGATATGACCAAGCCTCCCTCTGATGATGTACATCTGGTTGTGTTTTTGAGAAAATTAGACCGTTAGACTAAACTAAATACCAACATTTTACATATTTAAATTGGGAGAGATGAATCTAACTATGAGCAACCAAACAGGATAATGCTGTTCACAAGAAAACCATGGGGGAAATGGAAAAAGCTGAAGAATATCAGAATTTATGTTCCATTAAACAATGATCAAACTTTAAATCAAGGACAGCATACAGTGGTGAATGCATTTTGAAATATAATCTCAAAATATGCAGTTGCAGCCCCTTCTGAACAGCCTTTATCTGTGCTTAACAAATCAAAGATTGGTTCTTTTCCCCTCAGCACCTGCAATTTGCAATTGATGTAGTAAACAAAGCATGTTGGTGATGTGCTCTGAGCTTTCAAATGAAGTCCTGGTGCAGATACACAAGCTGATTTAAAAATTTAACCAGGGAAATATGGAAGTTTGTTTGTGGCCCAATAGTCCCTGTTTCAAACTGGGCCCAGACAGATGACACTATACTTAAGACTGACCCAATGAGAATTATCCCACTATTCGCCATACAGAATTCCTGTCCTAAAAATATACTTTCATTTCTAGCCATATAAACTTAAGAACCAGAGTAATTGCCATAAGAGGAGTAACTGTAGGCTTTGACATGTAACTAGTGAGAAGCCAGAACAGAATGCAGAAACATTGAATTCAGCAGTACTGTAAAGCTGTAAAATGCAAGATGTAAAAATAAAGATATTACGTTTTCAAGGAATACATGTAGGAACTTAGGTATAATCATATTGGGCAGTACTTGTAAGAACAATCCTGGTGATAGCTTTGCTCATATGAATAAACATGTTCAATTTTTGACTATTTGAAATTTTAAGTGAAAATCCATCTCCAGGGCTACTGGTTTATGGACTCACAGAACAATCTCACCACCTCAATATGAAGGATCTGCTCCAATGCCTGCTGAAGTAATTTGGATTGTTTCCACTGACTTCAGCAAACCCTGCAGCGAATCTCATTTATGCAAAGCTATTTTGGGTGCCTCAACCCCTGGGTCTCTCTTTGTCTTTATTATCCCTCAGAAAAGGCCCCAGTAACTGAAATGAAACATTATGTAAAGCTCATTGTGTAAACACCCAATGTAAAATTAAGCATAACAGAAAAGCCAGTGCAGCCAAAGGAATGATCTTCAGAGATTGTCACCCTTCCATAAAGATACAATGCATCTCCTGGAGACTGGTGCATCCCAAAGGATGGCTTTGGGCAGGTGAGGATCTCTCTCACTCTGCCTTCAGCAGACATCAGATACTTCAGACCTCTGTGCCTGCTTTGTTGAATGCACATATGCTGGTGAATTATTTTTCATTTATTGTAAATATGTTACTGACATTTCAAGCAACTACTGTGAAACAATATTGATGGCAGTGCCTTTCTGAGAGTTAAAGGAAAAAGCCAAAACCCAACACAGAACTGTTTGAAGAAGAATGCTTTGTGAGAAAAACACAATTTCTACCATTATAATCTAGATCTGTGATACTCTTGCATAGTACCCTTCATACCTCATGTATAGAGTAAGGAGTGTTGTGCTGAGGCTTGTTAATAAGATAATCAGCACAGGATTAACAGCAATCTTTGTTCTCTGCCTCATACTTTTTCTATACTGTCTTAAAGGCAACTTAGAAGTTAACAGGCCCTTTTTCTTGACAGATGTAAGTCTAAAAAGACTAAGTAAGGATCAGGGTGGGTTATTTTCCTATAAATATGGGTTCTGCAACAACAACAACAAAAAAACCAACACCACCACCCCCCCCCCCAAAAAAAAGGAAAAAAAAGAAAGCAGAAGAAAGAAAATAAGGAAAAAGAAGGAAAAAGAAGGAAAAAGCAAAGCCAGCACGTCCAAATCTGACACAAGGGATCCTGATTCCACTTACTACCAAACCTAAGGATAGGTTTAAGCGTCCTCACTTTACTCATATGAAAAAGTAAAGTTCACCATCTCAGCTGTGTCTCACACTTTATATTTTTCTAGAACTCTCACAGAGACTTCTGTCTTTAGTCAGGTATCCCTGCAGTAATTTTTTTTTTAACTGTGGTGGAATAATGTTCCAGATTCTGGGGGACCCCTTTGTCAGAGGAATTCATGGGGATGTCGTGCCTATTTGATGAAACTGAGTAGACAAAATAATAAATTACTAATGATATGATTCTTTGCTCATATGAGAAATCCTGTTTTACCAACTATTTTTCAGGAACCCTGTAACAAAATATGTGTGTCACAGCATTTATCTCCTTCCTGCCTGAACAAGACAGTTGTTCCTTGACAAAAAATAAATGTTTCTCCTTCTCACAAAATACTTTCCCACAACCATTTTTCTGTGGCACTTAGATTTACATTTTATACAGGAGTTGTTGCCATTCAGCTGCAAAACGTCCTCATACCAATAAAATTTAGTTCTGCTCTCTGAGAGATTCAGAAGTTTAATAAAAACCAACCAACCAACCCTCAAGTGCTTTCTGAATTATTCCTCTTGAAGTGTCCTGAATTCAAATAGTGCACAATTCCAAGCCTGCTTGTGACCTCCTCAGGCAAGTAAGAATCTCCACTAGGATGAGTGCCAGGAATTTGCAACCATCACCCTTTTGCCATTTCAGTGCTTCCAGACATATAAGTGTACTGTCAATTCTTTTTGTAAAAAAAGTACGTACCATTCTTTTGCCAAAATCTTGGCATGGGCTGTGAACAGAGCTTCCTTTTAGTGGGATCATCCCTTTGGGACTGTTATCAGCCTTCCGCTTGTAGAATTCAATTCCATCTTCTAAGAGCACAACCCACATTGGCTTCCAGGTATTAAACATGCTGCCCTGCATAAATAAATCACAAATTATGTTCAATGAAGCACTCTTCATGTGATACCCAAGGAAGATATGAGCTTCCAGGGAGTGTCTGATTGATGCTAAAATAACTACAGTTTGTGTTTCAAGGGGAACATGCCACAAACCTCACCCATCCAACTATGCAGTTAAAGATTGTTATTTTTCTGACCACTATTTATTTCCCCTTGTAGTTGCTCTGCCAGTGGAAGCCACTGTGGATTTAAATAAAAGTAAAGGCTTTATCCTATGGGCTGTACGACAAAAGACTCCGAAGCAGGGGTTGCTGTGGAGTGGCAAAGACCTTCCCAAAGACTGGATGTGCCTGTGGCCCACACACTGTCTTTAGGCAAGGTGATGTGACCTCTTTAATCTCACTATTCTTCCTTGATGTTTAGCCCAATTAAGTGCAACTGTGTAGGCTGTGTCTATTTCCTGTTGCCTCTTTGCCAATATTCCACAGTATGTTTCCCTGCATCTTCCCAACCTGTTCAGAGTTAGTTTTCTCTTCCACTCAATCCAAAACTACCCCACTTACCTTCTTAACCAAGTAGCCCTCCCTTATGCGCATTGGCTCTCGCTCCATGGCTTGGGCAATCCTGGTCTCAGCTCTGTCAGTGCTGGCTGTCGAGTTCCTCTGGCAGCAAAGTCTGTGGGATGGTGTTTTTACAGAACAGCTGTGTCATTTCACAAGTTCCTCTCAATGCTAATCGCAAGCCCATTTCCTCTTACAGAGTGAGAGAGGGAAATGCAGAAGTACGTGTGTATTTATAGTCTGTCTCTGACAGCACAGACAACAGCCTGACAAAACACTTCATTATCTCAAATACAGCCAGCCTTGATGGCAGAGTCCTGGGAAGTTAAATAAGCACTTCAGTGCTCAGTCACAAGAAACTGGGCCTGCTCTGCAAATACATGAGCTCTACCAAAACACACAGGGCATGGTGCTGCTGCTGCCTGGCGTGTGCCAAATGATTTCAGAGACAGGTTTTCAATGCATCAATGCTTTCACTTCACCCTGCCTTCCAAAGCTGGCTCTATGAGGGCAAGCATGTGGAGTCTGGCAGGAAGATGAGGACCCTCACTTGGTTAACAAGGATGCGCCCTCTGCTGACATAAGAAATTTGGTCAGGATTTGGATTTTGATGCTGAGGCCTCTCAAAGATGTCAGCTGTCAAATAGGCACAAATGGACTAGACCTGTGCATTACATAGAGCACTGACCATAAAATGCTTTCTACAATCATCTTTTAGTTGCTGCAGAGCTTGTTTGACTTTATTTGAGAAAAGACAAGGCAAACCCATAGTTTTTTATACATACCAGAGTCACAATCCCTCTTCCCCATATAGAAAACAGTGGGGGTATATGGGAAGCAATTAGAGGCTGCTTCATGGTGTCTTGAAGCAGCCTCTTGTGTTCTTTCAAGCACAAGATTCCAGGTCACTTTTGCAGCTAACCTCATTCAGATAAGTGTTGATTGAGCCCAGAGTGACTCCATCTGTCACCTCTGCCAAGCTAAAAATTCCTAAACAGGGACTTTTTTCACAGACAGAAATTCCTGTTCTGCATATGACTCTCTGTCTCAGCCTTTACTCCAAAGGAAGTCTTCCTCAGAAGTCTGACAAGGTCTGTGATAGGGGACCAGAGGGTTAGCAGAGCCTTCAGAGACCTTTCCTAGACATTCCTCACTGATGCCTATTTAGTGGTATTCTCACAAATGAGACTCCACTCCTTCCTTGGTTATCTGTATCAATGCTTCACTATCCCAGCTGCTGGGTGTTTTTCCTCAATGTCTGAATGGAGATTTTCCTTTTCCAGGTCTTTCTCAATGAGTTGCTGGTCAAATGACACATCCAGTCTCTGTGCAGACAGAGCACCTGTACATACCATCTTTTTAAGGTTAAACACTTTAACCTGAAACATTCTGGTTGTGTCATGGTGCATTTTGTCCAAAGCATACCTTTTTGTGATAATTTAATCTATCTCTATATTGTTTGGGGTTTCTAAAACCTGCAGTCCCAGTACATTGTTCCTTTGCTCTGTAAGTCATACTGTTGTAAGGATCTTATTGCTATTAGAGGCACTAGTTGCTGATGAAGAAAGTCATCCATCAGTTTTCAAATGAAAGACTCCATGTATTCTCTAGCTGTGAAGCATACTTGAATTCAACAAATAGATTTTAAAATTATTAGAGACAGAAACTCAAACAGATCTAATAAAACTTCATGGTCCTTGGAACTAAAAGTAAAAGTTTACCACTAAAAAGTGATCAAAAACCTTGTCTAACATTTACAATTTGCCCACCAGGTCTAGGACTTGGAATGAATTGAAGATGCCCTGGATTCCCAGAGCAGAGATGATCTAATGGGATTTCTGAGTCATATTTCTGTGAAGGTTCTCTTCTTTTCCCAGAAGTTTTAAAAGGATGTTTGATGGACTGAGGAGCTTGTAGAATCCTCCTGTATAATGTCTTTTTTGGTCACTAATTCTTTTTGCTTTAAGAAGGCATGAAGAGGGTCCCACAGAGTCAGCTGAGTAATGACAATCACACCAGTGGGGCTACATGTCCTACATTATTAAGCAGCTTTGGCATATTTATCTTTCTCTATACGCTGCCTCATGCCACTAATGCTTAATGCTCAATGGTTAAGTGGCTGCATTCATGCAAACATGAATTAATTACTGATTGGTTGTCACGCTATAAGCATTTTAGCTAAGGTGTGCTAAATTAGCAGTTCCCACAACATGCCTGGCATCTGGCCTCGTCCTGGCACAATGCTCATTTTTCTTTGTTGTATCTATTTGAGCACAGTACATGGTCTATTTTGTTCCAAGGACATGGTCTTCAAAATAACTCTGTAATCTGCAGGTCAGGGTTGTCCAATTCTTGTAGGAGAATAGCATGCCCTTGTTCTGCCAAGAATCCTTCTACAAAGGTGAATTGTTTCCTTCTCTTCCCTTTCATTTCTGCGCTTTTGTCTTCAGAAAAAGATACGTTTTTTTTCCTTTTTCCAATTAGATAAACCAAAAATACTGGCCACAGGCAACAGTAAATCTCGAAGTGTAATTTGGAAGCCAAATTGTCCCTTTATTACCTGCCTTGAGGACATAATGCTTCAGAGCTTGGATCTATGATTAAAGACCGAGAACAGGATCACAGTTAGCTCTTCCTTCGGTCCCTACTTTGCTTCCCCCACCTCAGGTCTGAGGAAAGGAAGACCCCTCTCGAGCTGGAAAGCTTTATGGGGAGCAAAGGCAAAAGGACCTGCCAGCATTTCGCCCCGTGCAGGCATCCTTTGTGCAGGCTTCCCTGCTTACCTGCTCCTGCTGACTCAGTGTTTGTGCTGAATCAAGATGACAGGGCCTCACACAATAAATTGGTGATATGAAATGACCAGGGATAGGTAATCCTCAATAGAATATCTATATATCCCTGTACTAAAATGTGGTTTAATGAAAACAGAAAGGGATGGTGACTCCACAATTTCACAAAAGCTCATTTTTCTCACTTATCTGTGTGAAAAGCCTTTGGAGGTATGAAATGTAAATCTAAACACAGTGGCACCTAGTCAAATACTCCAGAATTTACCATTACTACTTATGCTACTCAGTGTCAAAACACAAAATAACTTCCATCTAATGTTAGCTGAAGGCAACCACTTTATAACACCTCTATATTGTTTCTATTGCATCTTTAAAGCTCAGCTGGTCCATTTGCTGTTCCACTTTACAAGTCTGGTGCAAACTTGTTCTTTAACACTGAGGTTTGGTTTCATTTACCACACACTACTGCAGGGAAATCAGCAGTTCATACCCCCCAGACAGAAATATGCTGATGTAGCTGACTCATTCATGTGAGGCAAAATGGTCCTTAAAAACACAGTAGCTGTGGCAGGTGCAAGGGAGTATGGATTGTGGATGTGAGTCTTCTTTTCCAGCCATTCCTAAAGAGCAGCACCAGGCATAAGAGAGAGGAGGAGCTGCATTTCTTTTACCTCTCCACAAAGGGGAGGAAGAGCTTTGTCAGAAAGAGAAGATAACCTGCAGTGTGGAAATCTGCTATAACTTACTATGTCCTCTCCATTTCTTTCTCAAGTACATAAAAGTGCATGATGTCAGATGAGCAGAATTTGTCACAATATCACCATCTGCAGCAGAACTGAATATGTTAGCTCAGTTTACTCTTCTTGTACAGGAGAACACTGCTGTATTTCTTCAGAAATTTCTTCTTTATTTCTGCTACTTCAGAATAGAAGTTCCTGCAAACACTGGGAAAAAAAGATCAACCACATTTATCTAAGCAAGTGGGACTAAGACGTGTTTATACCAAAAATTGGAACCATACAGCAGCTGCAAGGAAGGCAAAAATCTCAGTTACACCCGCTCCATTGCTCCACAGGCCCTTGCAGAGATGGTTCTAACGTGTTTGCTGCACTGTAAATGCCACAAACCCGCCTAATCTGCAGCAAAAGACATGACCTATCCATAAGTATATGTCACTACAGCAAATCAAGCTGCATTTGCAGGGGAAATTATAACAAATGTTGTATGTTCAAAATTATTGTCTCTGTGGGAAAGACGATATACTCAAGTGATTTCCAAACAAGATAAAGACTGTCCAGCTGATTTTTCAGTAAAAAACCACTTCTAATTCTGCACAGAGGTAGAGAGCTCAAAAGAATCAAAGTTTTAAATTGAGAGCTGGCAGGTGCAAGCTTTAGCACAATTCCCTACATACAGAATCACACATATGGCTATTTTTAGAGCATGAGAGATTGTGGCTTTGCATGCTCTTCTTGAAAAGAAACCCCAAACCACAACATTTCCAAATTTAGCACTGTGTTAAGAAATTAATCAAAGAGGGGCAAGCATAAAAAGGCTAATACAGGTATCACATGGCACCTTAGAATCTAAATGCTGCGGTTTGGCCATCTTAAATGAACCATCTTGTTGTGCCTCGAGGTACATTTTATATATTTAATGTATGTTGAGCTTTGCAGCAGGATTAGAGCATTATTGAGAAGGTCTGCATAAATGTTAATACTTGAAAGCTTATGCAGTTGACATATCATGCCTAGAGAGATCATATTGAGTAGGTACAATCAAGAGACTGAACACATCTCTCCAGAATGTTTTCTAGATAATTCAGACCTGCTTAAAGCATAGGTCGTGGTTCATCTGCATGTTATCTCTTAGCTTTCATTGAACACATCCACCTTCACGTCTCCCCTACAGTAGCTCCCCATCAATAACACACGCGGGTTATGCTGGTGCAGCAGGGAAGGTCTATGCATAAGAAAGAGGTGTTGGAGGATGCAGCTTGTATGTAGCTCACACATCTTGCAGGATGTATGAAACTTCCATAGTCTTAGGAAGAAAAAGAGGTATAGAACTGCTGGGTACAAGTCACTCACCACTCCCTTCAAAAGCACTGAGGCATTTGCCAGGGCACAGGTGAGTGCTCCAATCTTCATACCCAAGGGAAGGGAATTAGCTTAATGTACTTTGTTGACTGCACAGAACAACTGGGAAGCCTCAGCTGCCAGGGGAATGAAAAGTAGATTTGAAGGACTGAAAAAAACCAAACCAAACCACGGACACACACACACACAAAACCCAAACAACCCCCTCAAAACAAACAAACAAACAAACAAATAGAAAAACAGTTTTGCAGTTTAGAAAGACATTAAATATTGTAGCCCACCCTTCAAATGTAGGTGTAGAGAATGGAGGAAGTGACACAACTTTATCTTTTTGTTCCCAGAAGCAAATTGCTGCTGTGGCTTAGAGAAGTAGGACTTTGTCCTAAGTCTATGATTATTTATTTAGCTTTGAATGTCAGCATGTTTACTCTGTGCTCCTGGAAAAACCACACCGACTCTTCTTCCGTCAGATATTTTGCTCCCTACAGAATATCAAGCGATTAACATCAGGTAATGTAGCAGCCTGAGATCTGGGACCCATAGAAAATCCCCATGGGGACTGGAAGGGCTTGGTTTCTCTAGCCAGGGCCCATTCCACAGCATCAAGCACCTTCATCCTTGGGCTGAGGCCAAGCCAGGTACTCAACATGCAGGGTGAGGTCAAGGGCATCCATGGCTGGAGACATCAGTGGCGGAGCTGGAGATCAGCCGTCCTAAGCATAATTCAGGAAGGGTATGGGAACCAAAACTAAACATGGGCAGCCTCAGGTGATGCTGGTCAGGGTCATTAAGGTGGGCAGCAACAAAACTAATCTCCCAGAAGGACTTAGCAAAGGCAACTCCTTCTTCCCTTGATCTATACTGATAAAGGGCATCTGGTGGGATCAAATAAGTAAATGTATTAACACAAGTGAAATTATTAGATCAATCAAAAGAAGGTCATTGTCTAAATTAATAATTTCTTCTTCAGAAATGTTCTACTCTCACCATGTTACACTTGCATATGGTAAGACAGTTACTATGCATAAACATTCCATAATATGGTGCTTTTTTAGTTATCCCTCATGTTTGCCTAATACTGGTCAGGGATAAAGTCCCAGTCCGTGCTGTGTCCATAGAAAGACAATCATTCAGGCAGAAATAATGAGGGAAAAAAACCCTTCATTATAGATCTGACCTCTCATATACTTAGGAAGCTAATTGCAATCAATGACTTCAGCTACACACAATTTACTACAATATGTCATGTCTGGCCCATGAAGCAAGTAAATCTGATCCCTGGCCATTACTCTTCACACACCACTTTAAGTGATAGTATCACATTCTGCACAGGTTAGGCCTCTGTGATTTCATATGGAATTACATTTGAAGTTACAGAAAGGGCATTTACTGCCAGCAAAACTTCAACAAGCTACCAAATGCAGCAGTTTCTGCAGAATGCAATGCAAAATGAGATTTCTCTTGCAGTAATGAAAAGAGATAAGGAGAAATGCACCAGGAGTGGGTGTTGTTTGTTTATTTTTGATTTGTTTAGTATTTTTGCAGAGATACACAGTTCTGAGAAGCAGGGGTGATATTCTGCCCCTGTATTTGTGAAAACCTGAATGGCTGAACACATTATGAAGGTTGTGTTTAGCTGGATACTAAGCAAGGGATATTCAGTAGGATTTTGGGGTTTTTTTTCCCAGAGGTTTTCCGCAGAATGTATTATTTTGCTGAAAGTTCCTAATAAAATTAAATCACTGAAACTTGCATGCATAAGAAAATGCAGCTGGTCAATGCTGTATCTACAATTTAGCTTTTTTCACATTGCACCACTACATGTACATCCCAGCCTTACAGAAACAAGGAACAGGTTAGTCCAGTGCAACATGGACCTATGAAATTCTCGTAACAAAACCATTAACTCTGCCATAATGTCCAAGCAAAAAATATATTTGTGGCCCAAAGCTTGTGTCAGACATAAGGGTGCTACAGCAAACAAGAACAAATAAAAAAGAATGGAAAATAGGCACAAACCTGCCTGGGTTAAAAGTAATCTTTTTAGAGATGGGAATGAGACAGGCTGAGTTGGATTATGGTAAATTTTTCCGTTTCAAGGATCTTTGTTCAAGAACATAGAGCACCAGCCATATGTAGAGAGTAGTATTAGACTTCAAAGCAAGACATTCTGATCTTATAGTGCAGTTACAGAGTAGTTTTTTTTTTTTTTTCTATTTAAATAAGAGGATTGCAATGAAGTGATTAAAATAATCCCAACAGAAACCTTGGCCTGCTGATGTTGACTGTTGACCTCAGGGAGCAAGAAAGCGACCCTCAGTCCAGGCATGGTGACTCTGACAGTCAAGAAAGCAACCCTCAGTCCAGGCATGGTAACTCAACAAAACCTTTTCCTGCACCGGGAGAGAGAAGAACCAGAAAACCACGTCTTTGCTGCCCGCCCTCCCCTCTCTCGGGCAGCTTTGGCTCCTCCGTGCCGCCACACAGATGTTTCAGCCCACCCCAGAGGGCTCAATCAACCCGCAGGAGGCCTTTCCCGGGTGGGAGATCGGAGGGTGATTTGGGGGGGCTCTCCCCAGGCGAGGGGGTCGAGGGTGGTTTGGGGGGCTCCCTCAGGTGAGGGGTCAGGGGTGGTTTGGGGGGCTCTCCCAGGTGAGGGGTCAGGGGTGGTTTGGGGGGCTCTCCCAGGTGAGGGGTCGGGGGTGGTTTGGGGGCTCCCCTCGGCCGGGACCCCACGGAGGAGCCCGTGGGCCGCTCCCTGCCCTTGCCGCTGTCCGCGCCCGTGGTGCTGAACCCGCGGAGCCCGGCCCAGGCCGTCTCGTTTCCTCCGGGACGAGCTGCGGGATTAAGACTGCAGTAATCGGGGCCGGATTAACTCCCTGGAAACCAGCAGCAATCTGAGCAGCTGCAAATGTGCCCCAGATCAGGATATGGGCCGGGGTGATGAAGTGGAGGCGGGGGGGAAGAAGAAGGGGAAAGACATCAACCGCCAGGTGCTACGCCGTGATTAATAGGAGGGAAAATAAATAATCAAGTATCTCATCCGCTGCTTTTGGGAAGGGCTGGGCTGGCTGGGATCCGGCAGCCCCTCCTCTTCCTTCTCCCTCCTCCTCTTCCTCTCCCTCGCTCCCGGCCAGCCGCCTTTCCTCGGAGGGGCGAGACGCGCGCAGAGCCCACAGGCCCCTCTGGCCGCAAGCGATGGGCGACATCCCCGGCCTCGTGAAAATCAGCGTCTCCCTCAAAATCCAGCCCAACGACGGCGCCGTGTATTTCAAGGTGGACGGGCAGCGCTTCGGTCAGAACCGCACCATCAAGCTGCTGACCGGGGCCAAGTACAAGATCGAGGTGTCCCTCCGACCCGGCACCGTCCAGGCCACGTAAGTGCGGCCATCCTCCTCAGGGCGGCTCCCCCGGCCCTCCTCTCCCTCCCTGCTGCTTTATTTTTAGACGTTTAATGTTTTTTCCTGGCAGGCTGTCAGCGCGGGGTTCCCGTGATTTCTCCCTCCCCGCCCTTTTACTTGGGTGGCCCCGTTTCTGGCTCCCTCGCCAGCTGTTCCCTGTGCTCCGCCTGGCTGGCCTGAGGGCGGCCACCTTTGGGAATGGCTGCCTTCCCTCTCCCTCCCCACCTTCTCCCGAAGATTTTTCAAGCCCAGCTCCTTTTCTCCTTCCTTCCCCGCGGCTTTCGCTGGAGGAAGAAGCCCCTTCTACACAATGCCCAAGCCTCGCTGCGGCGTGGCAAAGCAGAGACAGGGACCAGACGGGGAACCGGCTCTGGGTGGAGGGGTGGCCCCGCCGAAGAGATTCGACTAACCTCTCCCGATCCATTCGAAATCAGATCCCGCCTGCCACTCCTTTCTAGTCCTTCCCTGGGTGACTGCAGAGCCCTGGCATATTTCAGAAGCCCCAGTGAGTCAGCAGCACATGCAGGTCTGCTAAAATGCCTGAAGCTTTTTCCCAGTACAGAGGCTACCAAGCTGCAAACACACGTGCTGGCTTCAAACTCCCAAGGAAGGGGGAATTCAGGGCTGTGAAAGGCTGGATCCTGTCTTTTTGTAGGACCATGGGCATCGGCGGTGTTAATGTCCCACTGGAAGAAAAATCCCGTGATGCACAAGTGGCCTCTTACACAGGGATCTATGACACCGAGGGGGTGCCCCATACCAAAAGTGGGGAAAGACAGCCCATCCAAGTCAACATGCAGGTATGTGGTTCTCCAAGCCTGGCATGAGACGATGAGGGAGGGCAGCAGGGGGTTGAGTCCCAGAGAGAGTGTGGTGAAGTATTCCAGGGCAAAGTCTGGTTGCAGCTGCTGCCTTCCTCTTTGCTTTGTGTCACTAAGGTTGCTGGCCAGAACATAGCTGAAAAAGACAAATCCTGCTGCCTTCTCTCCCAAGAAAACAGCAAGGGCCAGGAGGAAGTATAAGGTTTTCTAGAGACCTGCAAAACCCTTTGGGGTGCTGCAGCAGAAAGAATTGTGTGCTGAACATCCCACCCCTTCTATAGGACATACTATACATATCGGGCAGCTCCCACTGAGGTTCTTGGCTAGAGGTCCAATCCCTTGGCATACAGGGACCCTCTTTTCCCTGGCAGCACCATTTTTTTTGGCACAGAGCATGTCCCAAGCACAAGGGGTGACTGCTCTCCCCTTCAATCTGTCACCTTCAGCATGCCTGAGGACTTGCTGGAGACTAGAAGCATGCAGGAGAACACCCAAGGCTGTCTTCTCTCTTTTCCCATATGTTTCCATTATCTGCACCCACAAACCTAAATTCATATTTAAGTGGCTCCTCACCCCAGTCTTAGAGGGAGGCTCCATGGCCCCACAGTGAGATGACAAAAGCTCCAGCCCACAGGGCAGCAGAGCTAACAGAAAACATGAAGGCAGGCAGATTTCCACAGCACTCTTTGGGTGGTATGCTCAGTTTTGGCAGTGTTTTTTCTTCTCCTGATTATAGATGTGTGGGATTCCTGCTGTTTATTCCATGTCTTCTCTACCAAAAAAAGGAATCAAGGCAGTAAGCCATCTTCATCTGAAGCTCTCTTAAGAGTCTGTTCCAGCTTAAACAAGCCCACCAAATTTCAGAATTTTATGACGTTTGCTTAGTGCACAGAAGATTTCATATTGCTCTTCAGTATTTCTTTTCTGGAATCATAGTTCAGTATGGTAATCCTCTTCTGAATAAGAACTGTAACATCTCCATTTGGTGTTTCTAATAATTACAATGTGCCTAACTTAATTTTGGAGATTGACATCACATTACTATTTCATAATAGTAGGTTATTAAGACTAATATGGAGTATTATGTTAATCACTTTTATATACAGCCACCACCCAGGAAAACCAAACATAGTATTATTTCACAAAAAGCTGAACATAGCTGCTGGATGCTACTGTTGATCATTGTAGTTATATTTCACCTTGCACCAGGAGGAGAAAGGACAGCATTCCCAAAAAAACATCTGCTTTGACTCAGGCATCCCTGTTTTGCTGGTTACCTTTACCCTTAAGTGCAGCACTGATGTGAACTCTGAAAATCTAGAAATTTAACTTTTCCTTTGGAGAAAACCAAGTCAAATCACAGATAAAATGTAAGGAGGTTCTGACTTTCAGTGACAAGCTCTGACATGGTTTGTTGCAGCATCAGAATGAGAAGCCACAATATTTGCCCAAAGAGCTGCTTTTACAGATCAGATCCTGGGATATTAACCATGAAACTAATAGGATTTTCAAGCATTAAGCAAGTCCTTAATTCCTTTTAGGAACTGATCTTGCTAGATAGGTTCATCAGTACAGACTTAGATACCCACAAATGATACTTTTAAGTATTAAATATAGACAACTCAACAGGGATTTATATGTTTAACTGATCATTTAGTGCTTAGCTAAGTGGAGCTGTAATAGATTTAGGGAACAAGCCTCAGATACCTCAGTCTGAAAACTGCTTTGGATACCTACTTCCTGAACCTTCAAAACTGAGCTTATTGCAGACAGCTTTAGATTTTCCTATTTCCCTCAACTATGAGGAACTTCTGCCTCCACTTCCTTTTCTAAGACAGAATTCTGATGCATCCTATGGTGATAAGGACACTATTTTAGGCATAAAAACTGAATTCACATTAGAAATGGATTGTGAGATCAGTCCTGCAGTCAAAAACAAGTCTAATATTGCCAGTCTAGTGTCTGAATAACTTAAGGTCCGTTAAGATCCATAAGAACTTCTTTCCTATCTGCTTTGAAACTTTTAACAAATAATTCTTTGTGTTGCTGCTTTAACTGGCTAGTAGACATCTGACCCATGACAGCCAGAGTTTATACATGTTGAATAGCAATCCTGTTTCTGAATTCCAGAATCTGATTACATGTTTCTGTTACCTAATTGGTCAATCATGCAGACTATCCAGAAACTGCTAAACTGTCTAGCAAATGGTGTAAACTAAGTTAGAAGCCTGCCTTTGGGCCTCATTTTATTCTTGATCAGACTAGTCTAAGATTGAATAAAGACGCTAGAACTGTATTAACAGTAATAACTATAAAATCATGTCAGCCTGCAAATGTAGAGGGAGTGATTAATTAACTATTTACTCCTACAGCACCAGATGACAGAGAAGAGCAGACAGGGAAATATACTTAATATGAAGCCTGACCTGCAAAGGGCAGGGCTATTCTTCCTGCCTGGGGATGCCCATATATGAGCTCAGTGGAGTAGCCAGGATTCAACTGTAGGAGCCATGGGAATTCAGGAGAGCTCTAAGGATGCAGAATGTTAATTATGCCACATAGCTTCTGCATGTGTTAAGTACCAGGCTGAGGGAGGCACATGGTAGTAGAAAAGCTCTGCAATTAATTTTTTTCCTTCTCCTGGAAACCCAGAGCAGTCAAACTACTCAGGGTAGCTCAGCAAACTGGGTCATTAAGGAAAATTAAATTTGCTTTCTTTATCTATCTTTTTGAAATTCAGATCCTTCATACATTAATGAAATGAAATTATGCTATTGTGTCATATCACCTTCTAAAAATGTTACTAGAAATGCCTTTTCTTCCTTAGTTTCCACAGTGAGGGTGCCTGATTGTTCTCTCTGACAAGTTTTGTGGACTGTGCACAGTAATACCCAATGTGCTTAACCTTTACTGTCTTGCATTATGAATGTAACAGGACTACTATCAAAGATGATTGATTAAAAAAAAGTCCTTAATTAAGGTTTTAGTTGCTGGGAGAGATAAAATACCCTGTACATCTGATTCTTTCTTAGTCAAAGGAAGTGGCAGAAATGTTTCTGTTACTTCTTCAAGGTAACACTTGTAACTGGAGCCGAATAAAAGCCCTCCACTTACAGCACACAGCAACTTCTGCTATTGTTGAGGCTAAATTTAACTTACCAGGGTGGGCGGAGGGAAGGTTTAAAGTAATGGCTGTTATACAGCAGCACCTTACAAACCACATTTTTAATTTCAAAAAAACAATGACAAATGTGTCATTCTGAAAAATCTGGATACAGAAGACTCTGCTTGTAAATCGGTAACAATTTCTCTGTAAAAGGGCTTTCCTACTGACTTTGCAAGTGTGATTATAGCAGGCAGATGATCAAAGATCAGCTCCCAGGCACATGATAGGAATGGAAAACAGTCAAATGAAGAAGCTGTCATTAAAGTGAGTGATGGAAATACTGAAAGGGAAAAAATACTGAAGAATAGTGCCATTCAGTAGCACTTAATTCATTATCTAGTATCTTCTAACAACATAACACAATCAACAAGCCATACTGGCTTAAGGCCAATGGCAATACATACAGGCTTCACACCCACACTTGAGATTCTCTGCAATGTCTCAAGGCATAGGAACCCCAATTTTCCATTACCATTAAAACTGAAATCGTAATTTATGCTTGAAATCTTCACTGAGATTTTTCTGATGTTGTACAGGTGTCTAGGAGTGACTTAAAGAAAAAAAGAACAGCAAACAACTTCATTTTACAGAACTTTTTTATTATAGCCATAGAACTTTTGTTGTAGCCACAGTCTCATTCACTTCAAAGCTGCATGCACAGACAATTTAAAGTCAATTCTCACTTCTTCACTGTATTAGACACTTATCTGCTTAACAGGCTGATTATCTTTTTTATTTGCTTGTATTACTCAGCTGCAACTATCACAGTCCAACTAACAGTTGCAGATATGCACACAGAAATTCTCTTGCTCAAGTCTAATTTAAAATGTGCAATAGAATCCCAGGAAAGTAGTAAGTGGTGTGCAAGAGCAGCACATCTCAGTCAATACACTACAAATACAAGACTCCAAAATGCAGATACATTAAAAATTTCAGACTGAGGAAAAGAAGAATCTTCCCAATCCCAACTGCAGTCTCTAGGTATGGTATAAAGGTAAAGTGATGGTCTGTATCACTGCAGATCACTGGTACATGATCTACAGTATATACAAGCTGTGTCATCTTAAGAAAGATTATGGTTTTGATTCTTGTTGTTAGTAACATTTATCCATGTGGCAACTTGAATATTTTTACTCCCTTGCCTATCCCAGATATGAGTGCAAGAGGACAGTACATGCAGGATCTGATCCTTCATGTATTATGTATGGCTAAACATAAAAGACTTTCTGATTGCTAGAGCAGGTTTTACAGGTCTTCGATTTATTGATCTGAGGATCAATGATCCTTATACCAGATGTTTTATGTTCTGCAGCTTCATAAGTGTTATTTCTCAGGATGAGAGAGAAACCAACAAAATAATCAGCTCACTAACACTGGTATTCCCTCTTCCTCACAGTTTAATGACATTGGAGTTTTTGAGACAGTCTGGCAAGTCAAATTCTACAACTACCACAAACGGGATCATTGCCAGTGGGGAAACAGCTTTGGCAGTATTGAGTACGAATGCAAACCAAATGAAACACGCAGTCTCATGTGGATCAATAAAGAGACCTTCCACTGAAGAGATGGGAAACCAATACTGCTGGACAATCTCCCTAAAAAAAAAAATCTACCTTTTTAAACCAGCAAGAAGCCTTAATAAAGGCATACTGTAACACTGCTTTGTCCATAAGGTTCCAGCAACTACATTGTATATACAGGTGGTGCCACTAAAATATTTGCCTATTACTGTATTTTAAGTTTACCATGGCACCTGCAACATTCTTTATCTGTCGCCCTGAGAATCCTGAAAGGTTCATGGTAAAGGATTATCTGATAGCTTGGTAGGATGTCATATCATAATACTGTTGTAAGTATTTGGATTATTCTGACTAGATGTAACAACTTTTGTGAAGTGTTTTGCTTCATTGCTTAGAATTTGGATTAACATCACATTGGTGATTTCTGTATTTACATTTGTGTTTGCTCCAAAATTGGTGTGTTCCTTCAAGCATTTTGTTGTACTGTCTTCCCAGTGGACACCAAAAATTAAAAATATGATTACTTGTAGGTTTAGCTAAATGGCAGCTAATGCACTGTTGGTATTATGCTTTCATACCAAGGGATTTGGGAACTCATTCTCCCTTTTGTTAAGTGCTGTAAGATATTCTGTGAAGTTTGCTAATTTACCACATCTCCTAAAGAGGATTATTTTTTGTTATGTTTTTCAGTCTTTGAAATAGCATTAGGAAATGGTGTAAAACATGATGAAGGAAGAGCAATAAGTCCATTATGTTATCCAAGACATCTAACAACATGGCTATGACCTATCTTAAGATCATATAGTATCCTTGAGAGATACAGCAGCCATACCTAATTTATTTCCTAGAGTAAGAGTTCTGATATTAAACTCCATTCTTATTTTAATTGCACATTGATGAGATCAGTTAAATCTTACAAATTGACATTTATAAGCCTGACCACTGTATTCATTGACAAGATTTCTGACCAACAAGCACTCAGTAGTGTGAAGGTGCAGATCCCAGGGCATGTTTATACATGCACTGCAGTCTTTCAAATAAAGATAAGCATGCAAGCATTTGCATAGTTATAACTAAAGGTGCTTCATAAACACTAGATCAGTGTTTAACACAAACAGACAACACAAAACAGATGTATCTTTAATTTCTGTAAAGACAGGGAAGGAAGGAAACAACTACACTTGTCCTGTCCCCAGCTTGGGTTGAAGTAAGCTGTCAGTTCCTGCATATCTGTTATTCCCTTTGTGAATAATTTGTAAATTGTATATGTAAATGGTAAACATGACTTTTGATCTTTGTAATAAAGGACCTAAACAATTTCTTCTCTACTATGGCCATCTAAATGAGCTGAAAACATTGTATATAAAAAAGCAGTGGTTTTAGAGAATCAGACAGTAGGTTGTAGGCAGCCAGTGCTTTCTGGGAATACAGTCCAAAGTACCTTCTGTTCTTCACCCAAAGCTACTGTTTCTAGGAAACACAGATCCAGTGTGCCAAAATGCAGATGGTTAATGTGATAACACTCAGAAGAGCTTATTAATATGCAGTTAGTTCCAGTAATATAGTGTGAAAAGTAAAGACTTAGGACAGAATTGAATTAGCAAAGAAATATTTTCTTCCACTGAGTTATTAATCAAAAGGCTTTACTAGTTTTCTAGCTTTACTAGATTTCTACTGCCAAAAGAACTGACAGTGGCACTGATGTAATCCAGCTGTGTAAGGGTGAGCTAGTCAGCTGCATCTCCATTCTAAGGCAATATTATATGGCAAATTTTACTGAAATGAAAATCTAGAAATAATCTTCTCCATTAACTTCTTTCCTAGACTTTTCTTAGCAAGAATTCTTCAAAATGAAAAAAACTGACCAAATTGAAATCTGCACTTCAGGCAGAAGTACTACTGACAGCATTTTAGCAGAAGTTTCCAGATAACATGCTTTAATTATTCTAGACTTCCAGCTGTGAATCAGTTCTGTCTCTACATTGCTAGAAAAGTGATTTTATTCTCCCATAATTTGCATACTTCAGTTCATTTTGTTTCTGTATACGAACACATATGTACACTGGCACACAATACATGTGACACATAAATTTACTAGGTCTGTCCTAGTAAAAAACATGTAAGATCCACAGTGTCCTAGCTCTCCAGCATTTAAAAAATGCTGCAATGAATAAATCCAGCCAATCCTGGCACAGGAGGATTGTTATTCTCAGCCAGCTGGAAGTATACTCTTCCTAAGGCAAATTCTCATGCCCACATTAATGCCAAATAGGGCATCTTTTCACTTACAACCTAGCAGGTCCTGTAGCAATTCAGTTGAGAGGATGCTGAAGTAAAAGGCTGCAGATGGAGTGAGTTGCTTTTAAAAGAGAGATCAGCAAGAGCAACTGTTACACAGGTCCCATATTCTAAGACTGAACATTTCTGCCTGGGATTGCAGCACACCTTTCATAGACAGCAGCAGGGATAGAAAGGATGAGAATTGGTTAATCACTTCTCTGGGGAAGGTGTAAATGGCATTTATCAGCTCTTATATCCTCCCCTGGGTGAGGTTTAAGCATACAGAAATGTGATTTGCATTATTCTTAAATAGAAGATTATTCATGTGATGTTGGTTGAGTATCCATACTACCAGCTCTGATACCCCACACATGGAAAGCAAAACAGTCCCATCAACTTCCTCTTGTTCATCAAGTGCTTTGCTAACAAAATAAACTTTTGCTCCTAGTAAAGGAGACCCAAGACTTCAGCTGTTTCCTGAAAGTAATGTTTTTCATTGCTTTCATCCAGGACAACTCTGTTGAATATTCATAGAATTTGAGTCACTACAAAACTGCTGCTGTGACAGCTTGATGCATTATTCAGTCAGCAGCATTTAAATCTCCAGACAAGTTTGTTCTTTACACAGCTTTTTCTAATTGATATTTCCATTTTTATACAGAACTCAGTACTATAATTCAGGACACAGTACACTAGGATCAAATATATATGTCAGAAAATGCTGACAATGTGTCAATCCAGCTGAAACCAGAAAGCACTCATAGTTGGAGGTTTTATAAATAAGAGACTTCAAGATTTTTGTCATGAAATGTCCAGCTGTCATTCTCATAAGAAAAATGAAATGAACATTCCAAATATTTGTGTCACTTTTTCATCTATATTTAGAGGTAGCAGATAGCTCTTTGATCCTGCTGAGTAACAGGATTCAAAAGCAAGTTATTAGTCATGACTATTACAGCTGTGATCCTGCACATTATTGTTATTATAGCATTAGATCATTAGATTTTGCACAACACTTTGTGTTTAGTGCAGCTACTACAGACTTTGGTATCTCCTACCATCTGACTGCATATGAAACAGAAGTAATACACCTCAAGTCTCAACTTTCACATGGTAAAGAGGTTTTACTGGCTTCAGCTGAAGCTCTGTCCATTGGTTTGCTAATGCAGTGACCCTTACTGATTCCAGACTAGCAAATAATCAGAGGACCCCATTTATATAATTCTTTGTATAAAAGATGTGAACAGAACTTCTGTACAATAGAGGTGTAAGTTTTGTAATACAAGGCTTTTGCATGCCAGGAGAGGTTCTTTTTCACTTGGTTAAGAGCACTGCCCTCACTTGCTATGTAAAATTTTAATGTATGTGCTGTGTGTTCCATTCTTCTAAAGCCTCATGCAAAGCTTTGATTAAATAAGGACGTGGCATGTTGTAAATGCTAACCTCTATCTGAGATCTGAAACAAATGCAATGACTTTCAAAATTCAAAGCAGTGAGCATCGCTTTAATAGCTACATCAACCCCGAAGCACAAAGCAGCAGAAAAACAAGTCCTTCAACATTCATGTTTTCCCTTAACTCTACAAAGCTCACAAGCAATGACTTGCAAAGTCCTCTTTGGTGTAGCTGATCCAGACCTTTGGCCAGGAGACACACCCATTCCTGCCCATAGGCCTTCCCTGCTGCATGCTTGGCAGCTGTCTCCAGCATTTCTTGGACTGCTTCCTTTACCCCTCTCCCTGATAGCAAGATTTAAGGCTTCAAATCCCTATGAGCCTTGGCTTTCAGCATTAGGAAGACAAGGTGGCATCGAGCTAGTGAGAGACAAACCAGTTCTCTCTGCATTGTTTCTCTGTGACTACTGTAAGGTTTTGTGAGTTATCCCACTGCAGTCATTGGAGTTTGTTACCTTTTTACACACAGTGAATTGCACTGTGAGCACATGGACAAACAGATCTCCATTGGAGACATGGCTTAAAAGCAATGACAGACAGCCTCTCCATCAATTTTTATGCTAAAAAATATTAAATTTTAAGAAACAATTGATGGCAGCACGTCTGCATTGACCAGGTGCAAGGCTCTGATATTCTGTTTGTCCTCACTCAGACAAACTTGAGTCTTGATGCTGCAATCCATGCACCAGTGCTTTGCGTGCTCTCTGTAACACCTTTGTTTCCCTCCACCAGAGAAGAGGCACTCCTACTTCCTTTATTCCAATAGTGAGGAACAGCCTGGTATCCCATCTAGGATCTGCAGCCTTTGAACAATCCTGGGAGAAGAAATTGCAAACTATTACTGCATGATGATGAAGGCAAGAACTACATGACTGTCCTGATGGTTAACTGGACCTTCTGCTCATTCTCAGCACAGTAAAGACAAGGTTGGGAGCCTGCTGTTACAGGAGTGACAATGACAACATTGTCAGTAAAATCCACATGAAACTACAGTATAGGTGTTACAGGGACCAAATGTTCTCAGAAGTTTGAACTGAATCTTTATGACTTTAATAACTTATAAAGAGGGTCTGCAAACAAGTGGCAGTAGTGCAATATCACGACATACACTCTTTTCTGACTGTGATGGATGGCATTCTCCTGCTCACTAAGTTGCTATGCCAACAGATTCACCTCAGGCACTTCCCACATTTCAGACTTACTGGAGAGAACAAGCTGTGGCCAATTCTGTGCATAGAATATATCGTCTGAGTTGGTGCCTTTTTTTAATTTGCTGGGTGTTGGAGTTTTTAAATTAACTGTATAACTTTCACTTCTGGCTTCTGAGACATCTCTGGCTAAATACTATGCTAAGCTGAGCAAATGTAGGAAACACCAGGGTATGAGAACACAACTGCAGACATCTCTGTTCTGTATGGAAACTATATGACTACCCTCCAAAGATTTGAAAAGCATTAAAACAAACAAATGAAAAAGTATCACGCATCTACTCTGTTCAAGTCTGGCAGCATTTTGTGTATCAGGACAAGGTACTAGCCAGATAGAAATGTGCTGGTTACACAATGAAATAAATTCACAATGTTTACACTGAGCTTTGCTTACCTTAAGGGGGTAGGAGGTAGATGGTTAAGAAAACAAAAGTCCCAAATGCACTACTGCTACAAAGTTCCACCAAAACATACGGAGTAAACATGAGAGACAAATTTGCCCTAATATGCTAAAATGTGAATGAACTTCCCTTGCTTAAAACAGAACTGTAAGAATTTAGACCTAATCATTTTAATACAGATTAAGTATAACTTAAAGAAGTTGAGGAAACACTTCCCGGGAGGTTGTTGGCTATAAATACCGTGAAAAGATTTCCTCTACAGATCATTTACCCTATCTTAGAAAATATATTTATTTTTCTCCAGGAAGCAAGAACTAACATTTTGCACCTGGAAACAGGTACAGAATCAATTGTACAATGAACTTACTGAGCTGGAAATTTTTTTGAAGGGTTGGGTCTTTTAATAAAAGTAGCTATCAATTTTGACTTCTTTCTGCTTCAGCCCTGCAAATCCAGCAGCAGCCCTCAAACACAGCTAAGTAAGCAAAGAAGGAATGCTGCCATATACTTAGCTCCAGAACTGAGAGATAATCCAAACAGCACAAGAAAGGGAGATTATTTGCCACCTTGCATCTGCCTATAGCCTTTAGTCTTGGAGAACCATGACTAGGACAGCTAAGTGCACAATTTTTTCCTCCATTCTACAAATCCATGAGGAACCGTGCCTTAATCAGAGACACCAGCTTCCGTCCAGATATCGAAAGGGAAAACATTGGAGGGGCATGGGCTTGGAGTCATGCTACTAGAAAGAGACAGGAGAATCTCAGAATGTGCTTTTGACCGACGGGCACTGTGGGAAACAGTCACTAGGAGTCTCCATATGAAAATATAACACTAGCAGAGAACTCTCAAAAATCTCTTTTGGTAGTCTCCACATCAGTCACCTTTAATACTTCTTCTTAGTTCTGCCAGAAAGACTGTTCCTAACCTCAAAAATCTCCTACTAAACTCTCCGTGGTTTTTACTGGTAAGTAGCTTTAAGCTTC